CCCTCAAGTTTTCATTGGGAAACAGGCCAGTCTAGCACCTACATTCTCTGATTCCGCAGCCATACTGTTTTAAAATATGTAGAATGTGGCTTGGCATTGTCATGTTGAACTATGTACAGTCCCTGAAAAAGATGTCATCTTGAAGGTTGCATTTGTTGCTCCAAAATGTGTATATACCTTTCAGCATTAATGGTGCCTTCACATATCATGTTCAAGTTATCCACTAAAGCACCCATTCTTTTAAACTTAACACCAGTAACATCCTGGATGGATCCATTATTTAAATAAGAAATCTGAAAGGTTGACATGTCAGACCACAGTTCACGTTTCCACTGTGCATCAATCCACTTCAGACGAATCGAGCCCAGAGAATTCGGCAGTGTTTCTTGAGATTACTGGCATGTGGCTTTAAGTCTGTGCATAATACAGTCTTAACTTGCATTTATGGATACAGCAATGAAGGGTTTGTTAAGTATTTCATGTGGTGATATCCATCAACAAAGCATGCTCATGCAGGTGAATATGGACTTGAGTATTGTGATTTCTTTAGCACTCAGCTGCATCCTGTTGCATTAATTAAGGCATGATGGGCTGAAAGGGGTCGTATATAACAGAGTTTCTTAATCCTCCTCTGCTACCTTGCACAGTTAAATTTGAGGGCCTCAAAAGCTGCAACTAAACTGACACAGTTGGGTCCAAAGGTTGGAGAGCACTACTGAAAATGCTTCTATTTTATATTCTTATCTAATTAAAAGCAGTTTTTTTTTTATTACAAATTGCATTATCAGCAAAACAATCTGACTGAAAAGTAGAATTTTTGGTTTTGTTAGATAATGTTCTTAACATATCATATAACATATATAAGTGCAGCAACCACACTGACATTTAATAACGTTATTAAATGAGAAGAGCAGATTAAACAGCTTAAACAGCCATGTTTTTTTTTCAACCTTAAATGACTGTAAAGTATTTTATAACACACTCCTAAACAGGAGCCACAGAACAATTAAAATCTGTCTGCAGGCTGCTTATGGCCCTGGGCCGGTCTTTGGACATCCTTGATCTAAAACCAATCTTAGTCATAAAAGGATTCGCAGTCTTGCTCCGAGCCTGACCTACACATTCTATAGGCTTTCACCACTGGCCAGTTTCTGCACACAGAGTTGTGGATGACTATCGACCCAGTATTGCATTGTGTCATAATATGTCATATTGCATAATAGCTAACATATTAGCTCAAGGCTAGCATGATAGATCAGGCTACTATAAAGCAACTTTTGTTTAGTGTATATATTGTGCTATGGAGAGGCGAACGAATTGTGCAGAAACAGTGGAGCTATAAGATAGTTAGAGCTCATAAAGTCTTTGTAATAAAGTGGCCAGTGAGTATAAGCACAAGGCAGATGTTTCTAATAAAGTGGCCAGTGAGTATAAGCACAAGGCAGATGTTTCTAATAAAGTGGCCAGTGAGTGTAAGCACAAGGTAGATGTTTCTAATAAAGTGGCCAGTGAATAGAAACACAGGGTGTTTCTAATAAGGTGGCCAGTGAGTGGATGCACAAGATAGGTGATTCTTATAAAGTGGCCAGTGAGTGGAAGCGCGAGGTAGGTGTTTCCAATAAAGTGGCCACTGAGAGTAAGCACAAAGTAGGTGTTTCCAGTAAAGTGGCCAGTGAGTGTAAACACAAGGTAGATGTTTCTAATAAAGTGGCCAGTGAGTGAAAGCACAAGATAGGTGTTTCCAATAAAGTGACCAATGAATTGAAGCTAAAGGTAGGTGTTTCCAATAAAGTGCCCAGTGAGTGTAAGCACAAAGAAGATGTTTCTAATAAAGTGGCCAGTGAATAGAAACACAGGGTGTTTCTAATAAGGTGGCCAGTGATTGGATGCACAAGATAGGTGTTTCTTATAAAGTGCCCAGTGGGTGGAAGTATAAAGTTGGTGTTTCTAATAAAGTGACTAGTGAATTGAAGCTGAAGGTAGGTGTTTCCAATAAAGTGGCCAGTAAGTGGAAGTGCAAGGTCAATGTTTCTAATAAAGTGGCCACTGAGAGTAAGCACAAAGTAGGTGTTTCCAATAAAGTGGCCAGTGAGTGTAAACACAAGGTAGATGTTTCTAATAAAGTGGCCAGTGACTGAAAGCACAAGATACGTGTTTCTAATAAAGTGACCAATGAATTGAAGCTAAAGGTAGGTGTTTCCAATAAAGTGGCCAGTTTGTGGAAGTACAAAGTCAATGTTTCTAATAAAGTGCCCAGTGAGTGGAAGCACAAGGTTGATGTTTCCAATAAAGTGGCCAGTCAGTGGAAGCACAAGGTTGATGTTTCCAATAAAGTGGCCAGTGAGTGTAAGCACAAGGGTGATGTTTCTAATAAAAGTGAGAAATACGGGAACAGACTAATTTCCTGCAGGCCCCTTGATGCCCTCATCACCTCTGTTGTTGGGCATCTTCAGTGCAACGTTTGACTCTATGACGTATTTAACAGAATCAGATGTGCAAGTAAACCCTGACAGCCAGGCTGCGATGACTAAGGACTCATATGAGGCATTAGATCATGTCTTCTCCTATTTCCTTCCTTTTTTCCTCCTTTTCTTGGCGGATGGCCTCATCTCCTCACCCACTGAACTCTCAATTTAAAACTAAAAATGTACATTTCACACATTCTGTATCCTTCATGTTCTCTTAATGCGTAAATCATTGAGCCGACAAGGTTTGTTTTTTCTTTTTCTTGTCATTCATGTCTGTAATTAGTTTGAGGAGTCACACAACTCCAGTGTGCTTTAAAAAAAGGCATTGAATCTCTGTTTTCTTTGTTATTTTGATCTTTTCGTCTGTTTATGAAAAGCTCATCTTTGGCTGGATTACAAAGTGCTTTCTGAAAGCATATTTACTCACTTTCATAATTCTGTTTTCATTCTTCGGCGAGACGTTCCTCTTTTAGAATGAGTGTTTTCATCATGGGTTTGCACAGTGAATGATTTGACCACTGTGGATAGCAAATACTGACACAGCTCTGTGAAGAACAATAGGCTGTTATTTACAGGGTTTTACTTTTGCGGAATTATTTCTCTTTCATAGCTCTTTTGAAACGAGCATAGAACTTATGTTGAAAGTGCACAGTCTAAACTTTGAATCCATTTGTGTTTGTAAGTAGAAGATATTTTATTATGATGTGAAGTTGATGAAAACTTATTATTGTGCATGCTCAGGCAAAGAAAAGACATTCAGCAACACTTTATTTGCAGACTACCTAAGTAAAAAACTTCATAATACATGCATAAGCATTGAATAAGGCATTTATACAACAATATTCCAAGTTATTCCAGTAATCACAAAGTGATGTAAGATATTTAGTAAGTAAATGGCACTGTACTGATGTAGAAATACGACTACCTGTGTCATAACACATGCATAAGTGCTCAATAATACATTTATAAAGCATTATTTGAATATTGATAAAAAGCTTATGTCAGTAATCGCAAGATGTCATAAGATATTTGTGTAAGTAAATGACATTACACTGACATGACAACACTTATAATGCAGTTCTGTTTTGAATAATTGTTCTGTTTATAACATTGTTATAAGGCAGGGGCCTAGATAAACGCCATGTATCAGTTCTAAACCTTTATACTTGAGTTAAACTACACAATTCTATTTTGTACTTATGTACTGTGTACTTAAAAAAGATGGTTCTTCAAGGGTTCTTTAATAAAGAAAATGGTTCTGTATAGAATCATCAACAAAAAAGCGTTCTTTAAATTGATGGAGAGTATGTTGTCTACAGTTCTATATAGAACATTTAGGAAAAAAGCACATTCTCCATCAATCTAAAGAACCCTTTCATGATGCAAATCCACAAAGGGTTCTTTAAGTATTCATGGTTTTGTATAAAACCATTGAGGAACCATCTTTTTAAAGAGTGTGCAAAGAACCATTTAAGCATGGAATGGTTCTGTATAGAACTCATGGCTCTAAATCAAACTATTCCTTTTGCTAAAGGACCTTTGAAGAACCATTTTTTTTTATGACTGTAGGCTTCTACGTTGTTAGTCCCACTAGTTGGGAATGATGCTTTATAACAGTGTAATAAACAGAACAGCCTTCTGCACTTCAGTTTAAAGCATGTTATGTCAATGTAATGTCAGTTACCTTTTAAAACATCTTATGTCATATGGCATTTGCTGGTATAAACCTTACATAACTGTTCAAGGATTGCTTTATAAATATGTTATTCAATGCTTATGCATGTGTTATTAAGTCTATATATAGGTAGCCTTCAAATAACATTACCACAAGCTTTCTTTTAATATTTTTGTCATTTTTTTTACAACAAACCTTTTCATACCGAATGTTAAGTGAATGCGAAATGAGTTCATTATGAATCCCCGTAAATGACTACATAATTCTGTAACTGTACAGCAAAACAATCATAATAACTTTGGACTTCTAGCTGGCTCTAGGTTTCCTGCTTAGCTCTTAGTCACCTTTCTTTGAGAGCAATTACATATTACTGCCATAAAAATAGCAACACAGCTAGATCATCTGAAAAGAGTTGCAGGTTGAAAACTCACTCATGCAGTTATTCCACTTCTTTAGATGGAATATTGGGAATAATTGGTGGAAGCATATTTTGGTGCTGTTTCATCTTTTGACCTTGTTTTTGTCCAACTAAGCCTGGCCTTTGGAAACTCCTTCTGCTTGACTTGTACTTAATACATACTTTGTAAGATTTCAGAGCTTTTGCCATCTCAATGGTTGCTGGTGAGGCTCATGAAAAACCACACATTGGACTCAAAAGTGTGTCAGCGTATTTATTTGAGTTTGATTTGAGCCAGTTTGAGACCTTTCCCATTTTTTTTCCAGAAAGCTAAATGCTAAGCTGTCATTTCCAAGGCAATAGTGGAAAGTCTGTGGAAGGAACATTCACTTTTGGCTTTGGCTGGACTGTTCTGTTCTCTCTCTCTCTCTCTCTCTCTCTCTCTCTGCTCTATCCCTCTCACTCCCACTCTCAGCCTGCACATCTGGAAGGTACCAGAAGGGACCTGGTCTCTCCAGCTGTGGCTGCTGCTCTCACTATGGCCCAGGGCTGAGTGGTCTGAGGCACTTGGACTTGCACAGACTTTTCAATACATTGCTGGACGGCTGCAGGTCAGACATTATTACCGGAGGTAGATGTAAGGTAAGGTACCCCTATAGGTTTCTCCCTCTTCGCTCTCTCCCTCTCTTTCCCTCCTTTCCTCTCTCTCACTCTCTGTGCAATACTCCCTTGCATCCACTCCACTTTTCCAGATGCACGCACATGTGGACTTTCTCCAGCTGCTCAGATGGTTTTTGTGCTGTTGTTACTGCTTCACTGTGAATAACAGGCGTATAGTAGCTATATTCCAGTTTACTGTATTTGCTGTACTGTGAGGTACCTCTGATAATCTGTTCTGTGTTGGGTCAAACCTGATATAAGCCTCCCGTTAATGTTCCCAATGTTTGAAAGGATACAGTTCAAGCACAAATCAGTATACATACTTGAGTAGTTGGCTTATTACACAAAACCTACTAATGATTTATAACTATTTGACAAACTCCAATTTTAAAACAAAAAAGTTGGAACCGTACATGAAATGCTTCTAAAAAAAGCAGTGATTTCTAAAACAACTTCAACCTGGATTCAACTGAAAACAATATTTGATGTTTTACACACATTACAAATTTGATGCCTGCATGACAGGAGCATGTTTACCACTGTGTTACTTCACCTTCTCTTTTAACACTTAGTACTTGTGTAGATACCAATTGATCCAGTTTACGAAGTGATTTTTTTTGTCATTTTTCTGTTCTACAATTGTACGGCTTTCCATAAAGGGCCTTCATTTTTATATTTTGTACCTCTTAACGCATGCCAGTCTAGCACCTGCACTCTCTAAATACACAGCCAGAATATTTCTTGGTGTTGTCATGTTGAAATAAGCATGGATGACCCCATGTACTATCTAGAAAGCTGCAAAATGTTTATATCTTCCAGCATTAATGGTGCCATCATGCATACTCCACCATACCATAAGGGATGTTGGCTTGGAACCTTATGCGGGAAAAAAATTCAATAAACATTTTCTTATTTGGCCTGGCGAACACAACATCTGTTATTTCTGTAAACAATCTGAAATCCTGGCCCATCAGATCACAAAACTGTTTCAACTGTTCGTCAGTTCATTTCAGATGAGCTTGAGCCCAGAGAAGTTGGCGGCGTTTCTGGACGTTATTAACACATATGATTCCTACTGTGCACAGTACAGCCTTAACCTGCATTTACGGATGGAATGATGGATGGTGTATATTGATAATGGTTTGTCACAGCATTCCCGAGCACATGTGATGATATCCATCACAGAAGGATGCCAGTTTTTAAAGCAGTGCCATCTGAAGGGGTTGAAGGTCATGGATATTCAGTTGAGATTTTTGGCCTTGTTCTATAGACACAGTGATTTGTCTGGATTCCCTGAATCTTTTAATGATATTCTGCACCACAGAGGGTGAAATATCTAAAAATCTTGCAATCATTCATTGAGTGATTGTTATTAAACTGTTTGTTGATGCATTTTAGCCAAGAGTTGAGCCTCAAATCATCCTTGCTCTTAAAGGACTAGTCTTTTTGAAAATTTCTCATTGCACAACTTTTTTGGAACCACATTTTTCAGAATGGGTATATATTTACATCAGAACAATGTAGTTAAGATAAAACTTTCTATGTCTTTTCACAGTGGATTTACAAATCACTGCTTTCTGTTTCATTTGCTTTTCAAATAGTGTTCTAACGTTTTTGGAACTAAAGTTTAAAGTTGACCTTTCAGTTTGCGTGCAAAACATCTGAAAAAATCTGTGCATTCCTTACATTACCTTCTCCCTGCTTGGCATGCCTATTAGCAACTGCAGTTCCTGTGCAGCTCTAAGACTGCACTTAGTTTTGCTGTTTTGTAGGCTGAACAGATTCAAATCAATTGCACCGCTTGACAAGGATGTGGCAGTTCACCTAAGTTTTTGGATGTCCTCTTGGTCAATAGTGTTTTGCTTATTGGAAAACTCTCTGCTGTATATCCTCTTATTACAGAACTTTTGGAAAATCATTTGGAAACACTGTGAAGAGAAAGATAAATGTATTGTTGAGATATATGTTTTGAATCCTGATTGGAATCAATAATTGACTGAAGCAATAATTTGGTCCACAATTGACTTCAAAAGGCCACTTCTTTAGGTTTGCAGGAGCTACGAGGCTAATATATCCATGTAGGCCTGTTCCCATCAATAGTTAACCAAAGTTACCATGGTAACAGTCCTGAATGATGGTAAAAACCCACTTACTAAGATTCCCATATGAAATATTTTGCACCAATAACACATTTATTGCACCCAGCATAGATGACATTGTTCTACAAATGTGGCTGTTGAGCTGCACTGGTTGAATGGGCTCACTGCTGCATGCAGATATCAGGTAAAATGTGTGAAATTCACGAGTCAATTACTCATTATCAGATTAATTACACTTTCATGACCAAATTAGAGATGAATCAAGAAACTTTTTACTGAATTTTATGTTTATTATTTTCTTACACATGACAATTATTAAGCTTCAACTCACACTATCACTTTGCGTGCTCTTGTAGCCACTCTAGAAATAATAACTATCTCAAAAATTAATGGAAGAAATATAATTAGTATTGGTAAAAGTATTAGTGGTACCAGTAGTATCTCTGTAAGTACATCTGCTAATGCTTCTGAACATGAGCAATGTTCCTCAAAGCTTTAGCAGATACTTACAGAGCTAATAAGAATATGAAGAGAAGAATAGCAACACTTTCTTCTGGTCATTTGTAGACGGTTCCTAACTCTTACAGCATTTGAGTTCATGTTGTCAAATAAAAGGTGGAGCAAAGGGAAAAAATTGCCATCCCCCAAACTAGCACAGGTCCACTGCAAGTAATAGAAGGTTTAACCATTTACTGCATTACCTTCTCCAGTGCACAACTAAAGATGCCAACGTCAGCCACAAAACATGTCTGTGTGGCATGCACCCGTCCCCCGAGGACTGCAAGTGCTGGCAGGAAGGCGGGGCCCGAAGCCCGAACGAGGATGGTAGGGAGAGGAAATCCTCAAGGGAGTGAGGGATGGTGTGCGAGTCCCGAAACTCCGTTGCCCAGGCCCTGCCTCCCCCTCCTTACCTAGCTCTCCTTCCCTCATGCCTCAGGTGCTCACACTGCCCTTAATGAGAGCCAGCTGATCTGGTTGGCAGCTGACGTCCTCCTCCCTCCATCACTCGTGTCCCTTGGCGGTGTTCGGGATTCGGGCCCCACCTTCCCGCCGGCTCTCGTGGCTGTCATCAGGGCCTGGGGGACGGGTGCATGCTACAGTCTAATTGACCACAAGATAGGAAAACTGTGTACAATTGACATTTCCAACAGTTTCTGTCCCTCTAAACTGCTAATACTTGCTGCTAAATCATGCACCAGGTCTTATAACATGACATTTCACGCTATTACACTTCATAAAGTTCAGATATGTATCAGCAGAAAAAAAGGCTGCAGATTTTAAGCAGCGTGTGCGCTTTCCATCCAGTCCTACAAAGGATTTTCCCTTGTGTTCCTAATTTTCTCCTGTTCAGAGGCCAGCGTTTCTGAACTTTAATTCAGACTCTCAGTGCTGTACACGCAGACTGAATGGAAGCTGGAGAGTGTTTGTGCGATAGCGCTGCTTGTCGTTGTTGGCGTTCGTTCCAGAATGTTTTCCACATCCCGCTGAATTTGACCTTCACAGTCAGCTCCTTATCTGGGCATTGGAGGGCTGGCTGGCCGGTGCTGGAATGCCATGGAATGCCACTGTTTGTCTGAGGTGGCTTTGTCTTGTCTAGAGGTCATTATGGAAAGAAAACTCTTAAGTGACCACAGAAAAACATCCACGCCACAAACGGAGAGAAAGTGCTGGAAACACACCTCCCATCTGGAACTGGAAAACAGTTACTGTAACACGCACACATATTCTCTTAATGCCAGACTCTAAGCTCATTTAAAGCTCTCTGCAGGTTTAGTCATACGCTGTTGGTAAGGTTACGACAGGACAACCAGCACTTTGGGGCTTCAGGTCATAACATGTGTTTACTTCTTTTAGCAGGTGTGACCATGTAAAAGTGATTTATACTAAAATTATGAGCCACATTTGAGATCATGTGTACCAAAACACACAATGACTAAAGCAGATACTGTTGAAACTGTAGAACTCAGAGGAGACTGAGGGATGGCCCTTCATTTAAAGGGGAGTTTTCAATATTTCTGCACATTTCAATCATGCGATGTGTACTAGCTTAGATATCTTTACAGTGGTGGTGATAGGAACCAGGGGTCACAATGACTACCACACAAATATAGACATTTTATTTATTATCCAAAACCACCAGAGACCCTACACATGTCTTCTGAGTGTTTATATGGAATGATGATGATGGTCAGACAGTAGGAAATCTGGAAACTATTTGGCCTTAAAACTCCCTGAATGTATCCCTCCAGGTTAAAACCTTTGCAAAACTTTATGACCATTTGATGTAATAACATTCTGTGAGGGAGCTTTTAGAGGTGGACATCTGGTTCCTATCACCACCACTGTGAACAATTCGGATTGTAAGTCTCTCTAGAACATAGCATTTCACACCAAACTCTCTGGATGACTTTGTTTACATCAAACATTTGAAGATTATTTGTATAACAGCTCCCCCACAGAAAGTTATTATGTGAAATAATTTTGAATTCGCTGCCTGATGCCTGAGATGATCAATTTAAGATGAGATTTTGGCCTAAAACAATTTTTTAAAAGTCCATTAATGTCAGAAGACACATGCAGGTTCACCAGTGGTTTTAAATAGTGAATAAAATGACTATAGCTCTGTTGTAGACATGGCAACCCCTGGTTCCTATCACCACCACTGTAAAGAAATGTTTGTAAGTTTCTCTACAGTGGAGAATTTCATATCAAACCACGTTTAATTATGTTTTGCATTTCAGGCATTGAATTATGCAGAACATTTGCAAATTGAAAATGGGTGGAATTTCCCTTTAAGCTCTGGCAGTGAGGAAGCCTGGTCCTGGGCATTTAAGGGGTTACACAGTTTTGAATGAAAATCCCACATAACCTGCTTTACAATTCCTACTCATTCAGACTTCCTGCATTTTTTTAATCATAAAAAATGTTTCCACTTAAAAAAGCTAACATCTCCAGTTAAGGAAACATTTAGTCCCTTTCTGCGAGCTTCACTGTGCTCAGATTGTTAAGTTAAAATGTTCAAGTCGTGGCCTTTGCACACCTGGGCTTCATGCTGGGGGATGAACAGCCCGACCTGTGTGGGTGAAGAGTGGCAATTTTCTAAAACTCAGCATTCTCACAGGGTTAAGATGACCCCATGGCAGGAAGCATTAATGGGTTTTATTATGAGTCACTTTTTCTTAGACTGGAGTTTTGGTTACTGTCACTGTTCTTTTTTCATTTTCACTAAATTTTCTCTAAACTGTGAGCATGTCTAAGACATAGAAGCCCATAGACTACACCCCTTTATACTACCACTCACTGGCCACTTTATTAGAAACACCTATCTTGTGCTTACACTCACTGGCCACTTTATTGGAAACACCTACTTTGTGTTTTCTCTCAGTGGCCACTTTATTGGAAACATTACCTTGTGCTTCCACTCATTGGCCACGTTATTAGAAACACCTACCTTGTTCTTCCTCTTACTGGCCACTTCTAATGAAGGAAAAGAAACACTTCTAGTAAAGGTAGGTGTTTTGCTGCAGATTGATAACTGTGTTAGAGCCAGGTAGAGACAGTTGCTCAACTTCTATCCAAGCTGGCTTGACAAAGCTGATGCTGTGAAAACCCAGGTGGTTGCTAAGGAGTTACTAGCTGATTGCTATAGTGTCCCAAGTGGTTGCTAAGGTGTTGCTGTTATCCCAGGGTGTTTATCAGATGTTGCTAGGTCATTGTCATGGTATCCCAGGTGGTTGCTGGACCATTGCTGCATTATCCAAGGTGGTTGTTAAGGTGTTGTTAGGCCATTGCTATGGATACCCAGGTTGTTGCTAAGGTGTTGCTAAGCTATTGCTATGGAAACCCAGGAGGCTGTTAAAATGTTGCTAGGCTATTGCTATACAATCCCAGGTGGTTACTAATGTGTGGCCAAGTTGGTCAAGCCAACCTAAATAAATTCACCTGTTTTGTCTCTCTGTCTCCAGCAGGTGTGAATGGTGGTGTAGTTTCTTCCTTGTTCTGAGGCCCTGCTGTGTTCTGGAAGTTCAGACAGACCAAGTTCTGGTGAAGGTGCTCCCCAGACCACCTCCCCTTTCACCCACCAACACATCCAGACAGAGATCTGAGAGGAGTGTGTGGTTCAGGCCCAGAGGAGAGAGAGAGAGTGGGTGTGAGCAATGAGGCGGCGCTGCCTGCTGCTGTGTGTAGTTCTGCTGGGCTGGACTCTGGTCCTGGGGCAGCAAGGAGCACAGCCAGACCACCGGCCACTGGCACAGCACCAAAAGGAGAAGAAAGAAGAGTGGAGGGATGAAGACCTGCAGGGAGAAGTAGAAGAGAAGCTGGACAGAGAGGTGAGCGTGAGCTCACAGTCAAAGCCAGAGGGGGTGTGTCCAGAGAAGTGCAGCTGCACAGCCGAGGGAGCAGTGGACTGCGCTGGAGTCGACCTGACCGGATTTCCACCAAATCTGCCGGATACCACACGCCAGCTCTCACTGCAGGTGTGTTTGTGATAGGGGTCGCATGACCACTGATGTTTTGTCACCTACCGAACAACTTGTTAAAAAAATAGTCTGCTAGTTGCTACTTTGGCCTGAAGAATGTCTATATATTTTTTATTTATTGTTTAGTTATTTTTAAAAGTTCTTGACTAGTCATCTTGACCGGGCCTCTTTTGGTGACATTTCTTCTTAAATATAGCAAATGGCCAAAACTTACTAAGGTGTAGAGATGGGATCTTAATGCATGACATGGGAATGAGATAATAAAGTTGTGGTCACAACTTAGAGTACGTAGACTAATCAAATGTTGGAATTATTTAATTCCCACAACTTGCTAAATTGTGGCCATGCCTTCAATATTTAATTCCCATGCCTTACTAAGTTGTGACCATGCTGTAATTATGTCACGCCCACGCCTTACTTGGCAATGCCTTAATTATCTCATACCCACATCTTACTAAGTAGTGGCCACAAATAATGGAATGTCTTAATTATTTAATCCCCCCTACTTACCAAATTGTGGTCATGCCTTAAATATCTCATTCCCGCTCCTTACTAAGTTACGGCCTTGTCTTAATTATCTCATACCCATGCCTTCCTAAGTAGTAGCTATACTTTCATTATCTCATACCCATGCCTTACTAAGAAGAGGCCACAAATAATGGAATGTCTTAATTATTTAATTCCCACTACTTACCAAATTGTGGTCATGCCTTAAATATCTCATTCCCACACCTTACTAAGTTACGGCCTTGCCCTAATTATCTCATACCCACACCTTACTAAGTAGTGGCTATGTCTTAAGTATCTTATACCCACACCTTACTAAATAGTGGCCATGACTTAATTATCTGGTTTCCACACCCTACTAAGTTATTCACATGCCATACTAAGTCATGGCTACTCCTTAATGATCTCATTCCTATACCTTACTAAATAGTGGCCATGACGTAATTATCTAGTTTCCACACCTTACTAAGCCATGTCCACGCATTATCTCATACCCACTCCTTACTAAGTAAAGGCCACAACTTAATTATCTTATTGTCCACCTTACTAAGTCATTCACATGCAAATAATAAGTCATGGCTACCCCTTAATTATCTCATGCTCATAAGTAATTGCTGCAACTTAATTATCTCAACTAAGGTGTGGCAATGCATTGGGATTAACATAATATGCAAAATCTAGGTTGTTATGTTTATGGCTTGTTTCATAAAAGTCACTTGAAAATATTTCTTGGTTTCTTTCTGCTTTAGAACAACCAGATCACTGAGGTGACAGTGGAGGACCTCTCACGGCTCCTTCAGCTGGAGACCCTCAACCTACAGAACAACCGGCTCACCACACAAGGTGAAAGAGACAGACATATGGACTGAGATGAAGAGAGATTTAGTATCTTAGAAAGAAGTGTATGTGGGAGAGGTCTGTACAGTCTGTTCTACTTGTAGGTGGTCTACCTCTGTTGGTGGTCTTGGCTGATGCTTGATAAATAAATCTAGTAGAGAATGATAAATCTGTTCCAGCTAAATACATTAATGATAATGATTCTCTGTAGTTCGATAAAAGTCTGTCCCAACCTGACTGTAGCGCAACAACATTTTGCCAGAACTTGACAACAAAATTCTGTCTGAACCTGACTGTAGCCCAACAAAAGTTGGGCCTAAATCAAAAATAGCTTGAAAAAATCTGTTTAAACGCAGCTGTGGCCTAAGAAAAACTCGCCTGTAGACTAAAAAATATCTTCTAGCCACACCTTACTAAGTAGTGGCCACACCTTAATTATCTCATGGCCACTTCTTACTAAGTAATGGCTGCAACTTAATTATCTCATTGCCATGCCTCACTAAGTCATTCACATGCCATACTAAGTCATGGCTACTCCTGAAATATCTAATTCCCACACCTTACTAAGTAGTGGACAGAACTTAATTATCTAGTTCCCACATCCTACTAAATCGTGGCCACACACTAATTATCTCATATCTACTCCTTACTAAGTAAGGGCCACAACTAAGATGTGGGATTATGAATGCATTTGGATTATGAATTTTTACTTGTGGGCTAGTTTTTAAAAAAAAAGTTAAATGGTTGAGTGCACGCTGACTGCTTCTGCCAAAGCCATATTAGAAAAAATAAGAAAAAAAGGACTCAACTATAGCCTAAAAAATTAGGTCTAAACATGAATGAAACAAAACAGAATTCTTTCTTAAATTGACCAAAGCCCAATGAAATTCTCTCCAGATTTGACAGCAGGGTGGCCTGACAAAATTCTGTCTCAAACCAACTGAAACCTGAAAAATTTTAATCTAAATCTGACTGCACCCGTGAAACATTTTGTCTGCACTCAACCGGGCCCATAAATATTCTGTTTGAACCTTAATGTAGTCCAGAAAAATTCTGTAACCTAAAAAATTAGGTCTGAACTTGATAAAGTTCTGTCTGAATCTCATTGTAGTAAATGAAATTCTGTCTGAACCTGGAAAAATTCTGTCTTAATACAACAATAGGGTTAAAATATTTTGTCCTTACCTGACTGTGGCCCAGTAAAATTTTAGCTAATCCAGACTGTAGCTTTATAAAATACTCACATGCATACTAGCACAAATATATGCACACATATTATCAACCACATGGGATACCATGGCAAATGCCTAGAAGAATTTTAGCAACCACCTGGGATACTATAGCAAAAAAAAACTAGCAACACCTCAGCGTAGCCCAACAAAATTCTGTTGTGAACTTTAGTGTACCTTGACAATTCTTTTTGAAATCTGCTCAAGTTGGACCACTACCAACCTGAGACATCATTAGATCATCAATAAATGAAATATAAAACTAACTGTTTTCATCTAACTAAACTTAAGTTTAACTTTAGTGGATTTATCTATGTAGCAATGTCTTCGAACGACATTTTGATAATCTGTAGCTGAATAAACCTTATATAGTATCTTCTCACATGTTGCCTGAAACGAAGCAGAATTTTCTCTGCTGTCACATCTGAAGGGATTGAGAAGTTCCTACAGAGTTCCAGGTATCTGTTAGAACAGGAACAATATAAAGTGCTTGCGGTCACCACCGCTAATATTGGTGATGACTGGATAAGTCATTTTTGCTAATTGTTCAATGTGTGAGAGAGATAATATGACTGTGTGTTTCTGTATGTTCCTGTGTGTTTGAATGCTGGCAGGCCTTGAAGACGAGGGATTTGAAGTTCTAGAGCAGCTGGGTTACTTATACTTGGCAAATAACAAGGTGAGTCATCCCTGGATCATACACAGGAGGATTCTCCAACCTTTAGAAGTTCCTCTCTGCTTTCTCGTCACTGCCGCCAAATTTGGATGTACATCAGAAGTGAATATGGAAAAAGCTGGAAGCTCTTTATGCGTCATGCTTTTCAGATTTTAAAGCTTTGAACTTCAAAGGCTGAGTGTGATAAGCATGAATACAAAACCTATTTGTAATAACTATAGATGGGACTGGATCATTGACATACATACTTACGAAGTACGTAATGATAAGCTTTAGTTTTTACGTTCTAGCCTGTGATCTGAATTGCTAGTCCATTGTTTTGTTACACCCACCCGATTAAAGCTGCACTGCTGCTTTCAGTCACCTTCTAAAAAACATCTCACCCTATCTGATAGTAAATCTGCAGTTGGTGCACATTTTTGAGGAAAGCTCTGTTGTGAAAAGAAGGTGGGGACCCAGATGGTTGTAGCCACTTTGGGATTCTGCCTCTTTCATTGGCCCCAACAACATGTTGTTATTACATTGATTTAATAGTATTAATATAATCAAAATGTAATTAGGTTGGCTTGATAAAGTCAAAGTTTTCAAACTAGAACCATGAAACTGCATAATCATAGAGCTTACAGGGGAATAGTGGCTTGTGCTTTTGTGACTGATTGCATGTAGATGTTTTGTAGAGCGTTTGTTCTAGCAAGCTTTTTTTCCCATTGGAAATGAATGCCGAGAATGTTGACAAAGTTAAAACCTAATTGCCACACATTATGTCACAAAGGTCATCTCTCATACTGCCCTGGGTAGACATTATATACAGACTCACATGCATACTAGCACAAATATATGCACACATATTATCAACCACATGGGATACCATGGCAAATGCCTAGAAGAATTTTAGCAACCACCTGGGATACTATAGCAAAAAAACTAGCAACATCTCAGCAACCAAACAGAATACCATAGCGACAGCCTAGCACCACCTTAGCAACCACCTGGAAAATGGCTTAGCAATATCTTATCATATCAGCAAACATGCAACATCTTATCAACCTTCAGGGGTTCCATAGCAACAGCCTAGCAACACCTTAGCAACCACCTGGGATATTGTTGCATTGGTCTAGCAACATCTTAGCAACCACCTGGGATATTGTTGCAACAGCCTAGCAACACCTTGGCAACAGCCTAGCAACACCTTAGCAACAATATGGGATAATGTTGCAATGGCCTAGCAATACCTTAGCAACCACCTGGGATACCATATCAGCAAACTTGCAACATTTTATCAACCGTCTTGGATTCCATAGCAACAGCCTAGCAATACCTTAGCAACAATCTGGGATAATGTTGCAATGGCCTAGCAATACCTTAGCAACCACCTGGGATACCATATCAGCAAACTTGAAACATCTCAGCAACCTTCTGGGATTCCATAGTAACAGCCGAGCAACACCTTAGCAACTACCTGGGATAACTATGCAATGGTCTAGCAACACCTTAGCAGCCACCTGGGATTACAATGCAATGGCCAAGCAACACTTTAGCAACCACCTGGGATTACATTGCAACGGCCAAGCAACACCGTAGCAACCACCTGGGATTATATTGCAATTGCCAAGCAACACTTTAGCAACCACCTGGGATACCTTATCAGCAAATTTGCAACATCGTAACAACCATAGCGAAGTTCATTCCCTTCTAGTAAAAACACAAGTCCAAACCTGATGTGCAGTCTAGTCCCAATGGGTTCTTCCCATTCCAAGCTTTAGTAGGCATAGAAAAGGAGTGTAGCTGTCTAATGGTTGTCTGTCAGCATGTGTTCTCACACTGAATAGTTTAATGGATTTCCTGAGGATCAGTGCTCCATCAAATTTTAGTACTGAAGCTCAGCTCTGCCATCCATATAAACCAAAGCTCCAGTTACACTGCACTCCAGCCAGAGTTAACCCCTGCTTGTGGCACAGCAAGTGTGCTTCCAAGACCTACAGTGTAGGTTCTGACCTGCGCTGAGGTGCTAAACTGCTAATACAGTGTCTCCTTCAGTCCGAAACCAAATTCAGCATCAAAAAACCTGAGCTCCCGAAGCGCTGAGCATGTTTGGATGAGGAATCCTTCAGGTCATGGCCTCGAAATATGACTCAGTTATGAGCCTGTACAAGGACATGATGGATGCCTTCCAGAGCGCATCAAATCTCTAAAGCGCGTTCCCACGTTTGTTTTAAAATTGACTGATGGGAAATGGAGCTTAGTGTTTTTGTTGGGCATGAGACAGCATTTTTTCCTTCCCTCTCACAATCGCCAGCAGGGCTGTTGTGTACCGCAGCCAAATCGCTCCAGTTCCCCTCAGAGCGCTAAACACATCCAAGCTCTTGTGTAAGGGGCAGGATGGCAGCAGGCCTTAAAGTAATAGCTCAGCAGAAAATCTAATTTATGCGGTTTTTCTTCCTTGCTTCCACTGTAGTAGATCAGCCAGGACATGTTTGTTGCCTGAAGCTTTTTTTTTTTAGTTTTAAACTGGAGCAACGAGGCTTATGTAGCAAACAAATAATGGAAGTTAATACCTCACCAATTAGCATCGTGCTAAGTGCATACATAAATCATTACATGCTTGACTCAAGCGCCAAGTTATCTCTAAGAGACTTGTTTATGTGGTTTCTGACACTGTATGACACAGTGTTATCTATAAACATGGGTAAAAGTACAGAGTGGTGCCTGTGTGTGCGAGCTGGTCCCTTCCCTGAGTCCTCAATGAATTTTTTAAGCTAAACATGTTACCTCATGCTCCCATGTTACCTCAGTCATTGACTCAACGTGAAAGTAATGGTAGATACCTCTGGTATTTTTACACACTTACGTAGTCTGATGTTGTATGTTCAGTAAATAAAATCTGAAATTCTGTTCAAAACATTACCAAAGTTGGCGTTTGTGCTAATAAGTGCTAACACTGTCCTCAACAACAGCATCTATCCTCCATTTCCATACTGTTTTGAACACGCTCTTGTCAACTTACCCTCACCATTTCCCCTTGTGGCCTTTCAGAATCAAGCTTTATTGGCCAGGTATGCTTACACATACAAGGAATTTGGTTTTGGTTACAGGAGCTCACAGTGCACAGTATTAGACAGACATTTACATGTAGTGATTAAAATAAAATAAAATAAATTAAAATAAAATAAAACATGCATTCCTACCATCACTCACTCATACACACACACACACACACACACACACACACACACACACACACACAATCACACCTTTAACCTTTACATTGTGCAAAGTATGGGTCTAAAGTTAAAGTGCTGAGTGCAGCAGCAGTTAAAGGGTGTATAGTAGCAAAGAAAGGGATCAGTGAGGTGACAGTCAGATAAGTGGGGCAATAAGGCAGGTAAGTAAGATGCTAGAATAGACACTGGTCTGAGACGCTAGTTTCAGAGGATGGAGTTGAGTTTGATACTATACACCAGTATTTTAGAAGTGTAGTTCGTTTCAAGTTAGTTCCATTTTTTCTACTAACTTGCTAGCTAGCAAGCTAAGAGCTAGCAGCATCTAAAAAGCAGGGCAGTGCACCAGACATTGTAATTATTCAAAAAAGTCATGTATTCCACACTCAAATGATGCCTCAAATTTGGTCCCAAATACAAACTTAGCTTAGCTAGCTGATTGGCTCACTGAGGCTAGCCATGCTGAAACAAAGTGCTTTCCTTTTGAAAATCTTCTCCTCATTAAATATGACTTTTGGTGACCCCATAATGTTAAACATGATCTTTTAAACGCTTTTATAGGTTTCTGTAATGCGCTCCTGTCATTTATCATATGAAAGATGAATATAGAACCCTGAATTTAGGAAGCTGGGAGTACAGGACTCCTTCCAAAATTACAAGAAGTTGGAACGCAAGGCTAGAGGAACATAAAGCTGTTTCCTACAAATTTCAGTGAGAAAATAAAGGGCTGAGGAACATAAAACCCTTTGAACATGAAGCCCTGAGAACACAGGAATAACCCCTTTTTTGTAAGAGCTTCCTTCAATTAGCTACATTAGCCTCATAGCTCCAGTGCATCCCTGCTAAAAATCAGCATAGACCAGCTTAGCTGGTCACCACCAAAACCAGCATATGCTGTGTTTTGGGTGCTGCTGGTCACCCTGCATGGCCATGCTGGGTGTTTAACCAGCACAAACCAGCTTAGGCCCACACAGAGTCCATGACTGTACAAGTACATGTTTTGGATGACAGACTGCCTTTGGGACAAGAGGGAAATTATGTAAATTTGATATTTTGTTGAATTAATGCTTTAATATGCGCACACACACTCATTCATCACGGTGGGGTCTGGTGTAGCATGCCAGCTCTGCCAGCTTTCTCTCCCTTAATCGCCCTGCTGCCTGTGCCAGGCTTCTGGCTCTGACGCCTGTTTCCTCTGCTGTGAGGCAGATTTATGGCTGGCCGACTTTAAAAGGGTAGCTGCGAGGGGAAAAAGATCCCGCAGGATCTTTGGGGGATTTGCAGAGTGCTGGCTAAAGCCTCACGGACACCCGCTGAGGGGGGTAATCCCACACGCAGACGGGCGGGACAGAGCAGCGGGAGGAGGCTCTAAAGAAGGCAGGGCCGCCACTCTAGAGCACAACACCTCACAGCAGCTGGAAACGTCCACGACTGGGGGGGTCAAAACAAGTTTAGAAGAGAAAAGTAGATGACTGAAGTTGATACAGTGAGGGGATTAGTCAGTGTCACTAAGCAGGAAGGGGCTTAAAGGTGAGGAGAAAAATAGCCCAGAGGTTTGGCAAGAGAAAAGCAGAATAACCCAACTAAAGGCCTAAATCAGGGGCGTCAAATTCAACCAGTAAAAGGGCCATATTAAAAAATCTCATCAAATCCGAGTGCCAGAGAAAAAATGGTTTTATTTCATTTTTAATTAATGTTGTGCTGTAACCCGACCTGGCCATTCATGAAATATTCAAAATTTTAATGTTCCCAGGTGCTCGGCCTTTAAACCTACCTATTTGCTTGAGCTAGAGAACCTGGCATCCTTTCTTTGCTGCATGTTCATTAAGACTTGGGCTCATATACATTTTGGTGATACGACTGGTGTTGAATTGTGTAGAACTGTGTAGAATTGAGGTTTAACCACTGTCGCATAGACTGTTGTTGGGGTAGGAGAGTTGGAGCATGTAACGTTGCAGTGCATGCTGGGGACTGTAGTGCAGTGAAACGAGCTAATATTAATAGAAAATTGAAATACTTTTGTGTACCGGATAGGACTGTGTGGCAGGTCTGATCTGGTCCGTGGGGATTGTATATATACACACACAAACACAAGGAGGGTTTCAGCCTGGACTAAGATAGATGCACAATACAGGGCAGCCAATCAGAACAGAGCTCATTTACATATATTAGTAAAAAATTAAAGGCACAGTAAAAAAAAAAGAGTTGTTAGAAAATAGTCATGCAAAAAAAAAAATTATGAATACATTTTATGTACACAAACCAATGCAACTGCCAAACGTTGCAATGTAAAACATATTTGTAATACATAATGATATAACACATATTTAATTATGTAATTACATACTGAATTACATATGCATTCTGTATCAACTGTTTAGGCAACTTTACTAAGGAAAAAGAGTTCTCTATAGTTATATAGTAGTTTTAATTATATATATATATATATATATATAATATATATATATATATATATATATATATATATACATTATTGTTTTAATTATAGTCCAGTCTAATATTTTATTATATTGTTCCTTTACAGCTCACTGCAGCTCCCAGACATCTCCCCCCTGCACTGGTCAGCGCTGACTTTGCTGCTAACCAACTCACCAAGATCTACCCTTACACCTTTGGTCAGAAACCTGCGCTGAAGTATGTTAATACTTTCATACTTTCCAAATATATACAGCCACAAACTTGTGGGTATTTCTCAGAATAGACAGAATAGCTACAAAGCCTCAATACATGGCTAAATATGAACAAAATGAACACCTCAGAATAGAATGTGAATCGTTATACAGCAAATATGCACTGAAGACAAGCCTACAGTGATACAATTACATCTGAAGTGTGGGCCTACAGCAAGGAAAAACTGTCTGGTAGAGCTAGACATGCCTAATTTGTTGCCTGTGCCTTGTCTCAGGTCAGTGTATCTCCATAACAACAAGCTGACGGAAGCAGGTTTACCTGAGGGAATGTTTAATGGTTCAGACAACCTGGAGGTGCTCATCATGTCCAGCAACTTCCTGCGCTATGTCCCCAAGGGCCTGCCCTCTGCTCTCTACCGTCTGCACCTGAAGGTAATCTCTCTGAGCTAGGCTAACCTCGTGCCATAAAGCAGTAGTTTGGTGACGAATATAATCTACATAATTTTTGCCTAAACCCAAAATGTAGTCAGTCAGCCAAGAAATGCTTGTTGTCTGAAGTTTGCATCTTTAGTTTTGCACTTGAATTGCATGGCTAATTTAGTTTTTGTGAAGCCTATAGCTGACCAATTAGCATTGTACAAAGTGCATGCCTAAATCACATTCCTGCCTCAGACAATGTTAAGTTATTAAGTAATAACAAATAGACTTGCTAATGTTGTTTGTTGCAAAAAACAGTAGTAGCTGCCTTATTCGTGTTTGTACTTTGCTCCATTTTAACAGATAGCTTTAGAAACTGTAGTTTTATACAGGCTACATTAGCATAGCTAGCTTCAGTGGAAAAGACAGCAAACAAATCTTTGGTGATCGACTCTATCTGAGTAAGAGGAAAACTTTAAGTTAGATTTTTTGCTAAGCTACACTATATTACCAAAAGTTTTCACTCACGCATCCAAATCATTGAATTCAGGTGTTACAATCACTTCCATGACCACAGGTGTGTAAAACCAAGCACCCAGGCCTGCAGACTGCTTCTACACACATTAGTGAAAGAATGGGTCACTCTCAGGAGCTCAGTGAATTTCAGTGTGGTACCGTGATAGGATGCCACCTGTGCAACAAGTCCAGTCGTGAAATTTCCTCCCTACTAAATATTCCACAGTGAACTGTCAGTGGTATTATAACAAAGTGGAAGTGAATGGGAACGACAGCAACTCAGCCACGAAGTGGTCGGCCACGTAAAATGACAGAGCGTGGTCAGAGGATGCTGAGGTGCATAGTGCGCAGAGGTTGCCAACTTTCTGCAGAGTCAATCACTACAGACCTCCAAACTTCATATGGCCTTCAGATTAGCTCAAGAACAGTGTAGAGAGCTTCATGGAATGGGTTTCCATGGCCGAGCAGCTGCATCCAAGCCTTACATCACCAAGCGCAATGCAAAGCGTTGAATGCAGTGGTGTAAAGCGCCGCCACTAGAGCAGTGGAGACGTGTTCTCTGGAGTGACCAATCACGCTTCTCCATCTGGCAATCCGATGGACGAGTCTGGGTTTGGCGGTTGCCAGGAGAACGGTACTTGCCTGACTGCATTGTGCCAAGTGTAAAGTTTGGTGGAGGGGGGATTATGGTGTGGGGCTGGTTTTCAGGAGTTGGGCTCGGCCCCTTAGTTCCAGTGAAAGGAACTCTTAATGCTTCAGCAGACCAAGAGATTTTGGACAATTTCATGCTCTAGCAGAATTTTATTTTACTGCAAAGGAGGATTATTTTATTTTTACCTACAAATCGGATTCTGCTGTGGAGCCACAACAGGACAGTAAAAGAGCCACATGCATCTCAGGAGCTGCATGTTGCCGACCCCTGTCCTAGTCTTTAAACCAACTCTTTAGAGATTGTTGTGGTCCCACTGTAATAGGGCGAGTAGGCATGTTTTCAACATATTTAGCAATATATGCTTATATTTGTATGTTTTTTATGTCCCTCCAAGCTCAAGACTTCTCATCATTTTTCTGATGACTGTGTTCATTTAGAATAACAAGTTGGAGAAGATTCCTGCTGGTGCATTTGAGAACCTGTCCCAGTTGAGAGAACTTTACCTGCAAAACAACCTCCTCAGCAACGACGGCATGGATAATAACACTTTCAGGTCAGATAAAATGATTCATCCAATACATCAAAAGAGCATCACCATAACTATGAATGCCTTTTTTTCCCTCTTTCTCTGACAATACAGAATCTGACTGATCCACTTACCCTTTACCATGAACTGATTTAGCTCTGACCTCTTTCTCTCTTTATCTTTGTCTCTGTTTGTTTTCTGTATTCTTACCACATCTCCATAACTCCCATTCTCTTTCTGTACGCCTCTTTTTTCTCATTGTTTCCTCTTGCTCTTGGATTTTCTCTTTCAATTCAATCTCAGTTCCATTCACCACTGCTTAATTTGGCATGACTGGATCACAATATTGTCAAAGCATAGTCAAAATACAATGTAGGAGTTTAAAAGAGAGCTGAATTTTTAGAACTCTTTTATATTTTTCTTTATTGTATTCTCTCTTTTACTCTATCTCTGATGCTTCCTGTCTTTTTTGTGCTCATTGGTCTCAAATGGCCCTCTCCTCTTTCCCAGTTTAGTTTGAAAACACTAGCTGAATATAGTCTGAATTGAACTCAGTTCAATTCAAGCTGCTTTATCAGCAATAAAAGTACATTTTGTTGCCACAAATGTTACAAACTTGAAATATCAAATATGGAACTGAACATTTTGTCTGTAAAATGTATTGTCAAGATTGAACATCAAACAGATAAACAACACTGCAACTTGGAAAAAGTGAAAGAATGAAAGAGAAAAAACAACTAAGAAAAATACACATACTGTATATACCAGTGGTTCTCAAACTGGTCCTCAGGGACCCTCAGGCGGTCCAGAATTTTGCTCCATATTGCAACATATACAGATGGAGCAAATACGTGGGCCATCTCTATATGTTGCAAGTTAGGTTGAGAACCACTATTATATACACATACACATATACACTCGCCGAGCACTAAGCAACACCTCCTTATTTCTACACTCACTGTCCATTTTATCAGCTCCACTTACCATGTAGAAGCACTTTATAGTTCTACAATTACAGCCTGTTTCCACTCGCTGTCCACTCTATTAGACACTCCTACCTTGTTGGTTCACCTTGTAGATGTAAAGTCAGAGACGATAGTTCATCTGCTGCTGCACAGTTTGTGTTGGTCATCCTCTAGTCCTTCATCAGTGGTCACAGGACACTACCCACAGGAAGCTGTTGGCTGAATATTTTTGTTTCTCGTCCAGCAGCAATGCTGAGGTGTTTGAAAACTCCAGCAGCACTGCTGTGTCTGATCTACTCGTACCAGCGCAACACACAATAACACACCACCACCACATTATTGTCACTGAAGTGCTGAGAAAGACCCACCAGCCAAATAATACCCACTCTTTGGTGGTCCTATGGGGGTCCTGACCATTTGAAAAAAGACAGTGAAAGAGGGCTAACAAAGTATGCAGAAAAACATGGTAAGTGGAGCTGATAAAATAGACAATGAGTGTAGATACAAGGAGTTGTTCTTAATAAAGTGCTCGGTGAGTTTACAAATAGGTGACAAATTAAAGAAAAAAAAAACAACATAAAGCATCTTAAGAAAATGTTGGGCCACCTTCAGTTTCACTGCTCCTTGGAATACATTGCCCAAGTCCCTGGAACTGTACTGGAGGGATGGAACACCGTTCTTCCAAAAGATATTCCATCAGTTGCTGTTTTGCTAGTGGTGGTGGAGAATGTGTTTACAACACATTGGAACACAATAGGTGTTAAATTGGGCCCTTCTTTGGGTAACTTTATCTACATCTCTATGGACCAGTGCTGATGGTCTTTCCACCACCCTCTCAAATGTGCAAAATCTTGATGCCATATAAAGGAAAGCAAGCGTTTTCAAAAGGTGGAAAAAATGGAATTTAGAGGTTTCATATGACTGTGATAATAAAGGATGGGCTAAAAAACAATGATTTTGTTGTCTTTCAGTCATTTGACAAGCCTGGAGTACCTGGACCTCTCTAATAATAACCTTACTGAGGTCCCTAGTGGTCTGCCCCGGAGTCTGGTGCTGCTCCACCTGGAAAAGAACTCCATCTCCCGGATACCTGCTGACTCCCTGACGCCTATCCGTAACCTGGAGTACCTTCTGCTCCACAACAACCGGCTACGTGCCCGTGCCATTGACCGGGATGCCTTCCGTGGACTGAAGCGCCTTCACACACTGCACATGTACAACAACCTGCTGGAGAGGGTCCCCCGTGGCCTGCCCCGCCGTGCCAAAACCCTCATGCTTCTGCACAACATGATCAGCGAGATTGGCCGTGATGACCTGATCACCCTGCATACGCTGACTGAGCTAAATCTCAGCTACAACCGCTTGACCAGTGCCAAGCTACACCGTGAAGCCTTCCGCAAACTGCGAGTCTTGGAGGCCTTGGACTTGTCGGGGAACCGGTTGCAAGCTCTGCCAAAGGGGCTGCCCAAAAGTCTGCAAGTGCTCAAAGTGAAGGACAACCAGATCGAAGAGCTGCCAGATGGAGCTCTAACAGGCATGGGCAAGCTGAGGGAGCTTTACCTGTCCAACAACCAGCTCAAAACCAACTCCTTTTACCAGGGAGCATGGCAAGAACTGAGCTCACTCACGGTAAGAAAGAGATAGAGGAGTGTAAAGGTATAAATCGGCCTAAATATAGCAAATCAGCCAAGATGTGTTTGATCTTTAGTTTTGTGATGTTGCTATGAGGCTAAAGTAGCTAAATGTAGTGGAAGCTTATGCCTTGAATCCAGTTTCAAGGTCCAGATTTGAATACCTATGCTGTATGGCATAGTGTTATCCAGTGGCAACCTGTGAATATTAGAGCTGAACCTTCATTTCAGGCCATAAATGTCAAAACTCAATGTCAAAAATGTCAAAAAACAAGAACAAATCTACATAATCATGCCAATTTCTGCTAGCATCCTTATGGGATTTCTAATAGTATGTTAGTACTAAGCTAATGCCGGTGGACATAAATGTTTTTTTGGATCTTCTAGATTAAACACAGACATTTGAAGCTTGTAGTAGATATATTTTATATGACATATTAACAGATATTTTACCTTCTATGTAGCAGCTTCAGTTAAGAATCTTGACATAGAGCCGCCTCTCTTTTCAATTTTTTGACTGACTGAAACCTGGTTAGACTATGGCTCGTGTTCACAGTTCAGTGATGAAGGCCTAGAGCAATTTTTCTCTTGAAATTTGGAAATCTATTTGTTTCAATAAAATAAACTAAATAATACACACACACACACATACATTATTTAAGCCACTTATCCTGTTGGGTCATGGGAGGTGCTGGAGCCTATCCCAGTGGTCACTGGGCAGAAGGCAGGGAACACCCTGGACAGGTTGCCAGTCCATCGCAGGGAACTAAATAATAAATAGAAATAAATATAAACTGTGCTTTAAAATGCAATAAAAGACATAAGTTGTTTTCTGTGAAGATTGTGTTAACTGTACACTTAGAAAATCAACAAAACATATGAAACTTTTGCATCTGACTACTTTTGGGGTAAGAAGAAATGCCATTTTTTGCCATAATATTTTATTACAAAGGCCATTTTCACAGACTCGACAGACAGTAGAATCTCTGCATTTTGTTGAGGTTTATTGCTGGAAAGAACTGGACATTTTAAAGAAAGAAGTCCTTTAAGAAAATGCCAAACCACTGGAAAACTTTTTGTGGTGGACAAAAAAAATATATATATTTGGTGACTGGTGTTGATTTAACATTGATTCTTCACTCAGCTTCAAGTCATTCCGCAAAAGGATTAACCCCTTGTATGGCCAGTACCCTCCACTTATGAATAGCTCAGGGAGTTTGCAATGTAGTCCATGTCGTTACTGAATAATAAGCTATAGGCTGTAACAAACTTGGCACTTAAATCTCACTCTTTGATTATACATACTGCATCGCTCATCCGTGAATATACAAATGAATGAATGAACAAAAATGTAGTCCTTAGTGAGACTAATTAAACTGCCATGTGAAAAGTTTAGTGCCGATTTAGTAAAGAGCTGCCACTTTATACATTGCATTAAAATGTGTCCAAAATGGCCTTTGATCACGATGTGAACTGATTTCTCTCTTCGCTGAAGAGTTCCGTTTAATCAAATTGTCAAAAACTCCATTTACATTTAAACGCAATATGTCCACGGTGTGACCTCTGCTGAGCCCGTTAGTGGAATTCACAGCCCTCCACTCAGCATTAAATCGTGCCTGAAATCCAGCCATGTGCTGGCTTTTACATGAGGTGTAAATGGAGCGTTTGAGTGGATAATTTGGGTCGTGATTTATCTCTCTCTGCAGTCACAGATAACACAGCCGAGCTTGATGGGATCAAATGCATGCATAATGCATGAAGTGAGTCACCTAGATAGAAGGGTGCACAGTTTAAGGGTGTGAAAATGTGATAAAATATGCATGCAAGTGTGTGAGGGCGTGGAAAAACGTTTGTTTTCCAATTTGTCAGAATAAAGGTGGATGATTATAATGCTGTGCTCTGCTGTGCTGAGCATACTTGCAAAAAATAATAAGTAATCTGTGTTTGTGTGTGTACCAGACACTAGATCTCTCCACTAACCTGCTGTCTCACGTCCCTGCTGACCTTCCGGAGTCGCTGGAGTTTATCCACCTGCAGCACAACAGAATCAGCAGCATCCCAGCTACAGCCTTCCTCTCGACACCCAACATTAAAGGCATCTTCCTCAGGTCAGAGACACATTCACTAACGCACAGACCCAAGCTAGACCCATTTTTTAACCCAACATTAAAGGCAAGGGCATAACTTTGGAAATATTGGAGGGGTTGAATAGGACTTTCCATGGGGGTCTGAGGGCCTATGGCCATGGGAAAGAAATGTTATTAAACTGCTTTTGGAAATGTGCAAAAATATAACAATAATCTCACCATACAATGAAAGAATTCCAACCTGAATATGCAGTTTTAATCAGGGTTTGCACTGCGGTGGGGGATGAATATGTGGTAGCCATTTTCCTTTCTTGTTCTCTGGCTGCTGAGTCCTAGACAAAGCTTCGCTATGAACACAACTTTGAGTTGTCTAAGCTTCTTCTGTGCACCCCTATGCTACAATATTATATACTGAATAAAATATTAAGTATTATTATTATTATTATTATTATTATTTTTACTGTTGAAATACCTTGTATATCCAGACTCTACAGGAAAAGGAGTTTCTTAACTCTCAATGCTGGTATTTTCAAATTATGTGTGGGAAAAAAAGAAAAATGACAAAAACGGAGATACAAAGTTTTGTTCCAAATATATGTAATATATACACCGATCAGGCATAACATTATGACCACCTCCTTGTTTCTACGCTCATTGTCCATTTTATCAGCTCCACTTACTATATAGGTGCACTTTGTAGTTCTACAGTTACAGACTGTAGTCCATCTGTTTCTCTGCATACTTTGTTAGCCCCCTTTTACCCTGTTCTTCAGTGGTCAGGACCCCCATGGACCCTCCCAGAGCAGGTACTATTTGGGTGGTGGATCATTCCACTCTATTAGACACTCCTACCTTGTTGATTCACCTTGTAGATGTAAAGTCAGAGACGATAGCTCATCTGCTGCTGCACAGTTTGTGTTGGTCATCCTCTAGTCCTTCATCAGTGGTCACAGGACGCTGCCCACAGGACGCTGTTGGCTGGACATTTGGTTGGTGGACTATTTTCAGTCCAGCAGTGACACTGAGGTGTTTAAAAACTCCAGCAGCACTGCTGTGTCTGATCCACTCAGACCAGCACAACACAGACTAACACACCACCACCACATCAGTGTTACTGCAGTGCTGAGAATGATCCACCACCCAAATAATACCCACTCTGTGGGGGTCCATGGGGGTCCTGACCACTGAAGAACAGGGTAAAAGGGGGCTAACAAAGTATGCAGAGAAACAGATGGACTACAGTCTGTAATTGTAGAACTACAAAGTGCACCTGTATAGTAAGTGGAGCTGATAAAATGGACAATGAGCGTAGAAACAAGGAGGTGGTCATAATGTTATGCCCGATCGGTATATGGGACTTGTGTGAGTCCATGTCCTGTTAATGTATAAAAACAAAGCTGTGTGTGTGTTTTGATGAATATCTTTTGTATGATATCTCCTTCACCGAGTTCATCATGATCCTCTGGGCATTAATGCATCATTTAGCTGATAGCTCACTCATCCTTATATAATACCATTGTTTTCCGTCCTGATATCTCTCTCCCTCTGTCTCTCCCTCTCTCTCTCACTCACACGCCCTAATGTAGCGTTATGTAACCTCAGCAGTTGGAGATATCTGATGCCGTGTTTTGCGGTCTGGCTGTAATGATTTGTTTGACTCATTGTTGCACTCGGTCATGACACGGCGCTCTGCTCAGCTGCCTTGCTGTTGATTCAATTTGATTGTTTTTGTTTCCACATAATAGAACATCTGTGGATGTAGCCTTTCTCTCTCTCTCTCGAAGCACAGCATAGTAATGGGATCATAAAGCAACGGTTTGACAAAAATATCAAATTTACATAATTTTTACGCTTACTTTAAATGTAGTCGATCAGCCGAGGCATGTTTGGCCTCTAAAGTTTGATTATTTTGTTTACAAGACTAATGTTGCTAACACATAATATAAGCTTAGTACAATTGGCTTTGTACAGACTACATGAATAAAAGATCACATTTGCCTCAAAGCGTGTGGAGATCAGTAATCTGATTTGCGTATCTGGCTACTGACACTGTACGACATACTGCTATCAATAAATGTGGACTAAAGTATGACTCATAGCTACAAACAGTAGCAGTAGCAATCTTGATGCTTGAACTTTTGACCTTGCTTTTGTCCATTGGTGTAGATAATGTCTAATACAGAGTCTTAAGAGTTTCTATCTTAATGCTTAAATTTTACAGGCTCAAAAGTTTGATTTCTTGATTTATTATTCTCTAATGTTTTTATCTCTATTCAATATCTTATTCTCTGTACTCATTGCTCTTCGTGTTTTTGTCTTGCTATCCGGTGTCGACCAGAGGAGGATGGGCTCCCCTTTTGAGAGGTTCCTCTCAAGGTTCCTTCTTGCTCTTAGGGAGATTTTCTTGCCACTGTTGCCACTGGCTTGCTCACGGGTGCTTGGACCCAAAATCTCTGTAAAGCTGCTTTGTGACAATGCCTGTTGAAAAAAGCACTACATCAACATTAAGACGTAATTCAACAACATTAAGATGTAATTCAACAACATTAAGACGTAATTCAACAGTAGTGCACAAAATACATCTGTTTTTTGCCCTTTGTCTCTAGAAACTAAAAACACTGCCCCTGAAGTATCAATCGTCCACTCGCGAGTGAAAAATTTAGCTTAATTTGTCACTGTTCCACCTGATTTCAGGTACCAAACAAGCTGATTTTTGCCTAATCTGTTGATATTTGATGTTTAGTGACATACCTGGCATGTTGTGACACTTGAAATTGCTGTGTTAAAAAAAATTCCACTAAAATGTTTTTTTTTTGTTTTTTTCTGGTTCTTCATGCTTTCTAGTGATGAATAAATGAGCTTTAAAGTGGAAAAACCTGACAATCCCTGCATTAACTCATGCCAGGACGTCATGCTGAATTTAGCTGACATAAATTGAAACAATGTGATTTCCAGGGCCCTTATGAAACACACACAGGATACATTTGTTTTTCCTAGTGCATAAAACAGCCCACTATGTGCCACTGTTGGCAAAGATCTGCAGTTCACAATCATGGACAGATGCTTTTGGAAGGTTGCAGGATTCACTTGAGGCAAAAAATTATTTATGTTTCAGATCAGAGAATTCCACACTCTGGGAAGCAGGTCACTGTCAAAGTGTCCATTAGCTGACATGGGTAACCATAGAACTCTAGAACCAGTATTGTTTACCTACAATACATTACATGGCATCAGGAGATCCGGGGTTTGGTTTAAAGTGATGCCACAGCCATGCGTGGCAAGGAGTCCAAGACAACGTAGTTGTCCTAGCTTTTTTTGGGTAGGTCGGATTGTCCTCTCTCTCCCCCCAACCATACATATCAACCTAATCCGTAAGAAATATGGAGGTAGGTGACAGTAAACCTGTAGAAAATGATCAAAACCATGAGCCAACCTGCCCCCTAATTTCCCCAACCCTGTGCCCTTACCTCTTTGCTTTCATTGTATGGGTCCTACTTAAATAGAATCCAAGTTTTTTCTATTTACTATTGAAATATTTATTTCATTTTCTGCTTCAGTTTTTTTTTAATAAAGTACTTTACATAAAGGTTTTATTTTTGTATATTAAATAAAAGCTCAAAAGGATAAGCAATAAAGAATGTTTTTACAGCCTGATTTGCTCAAAAATATATATGCTTTAGGCAAAAACCTCTTCAAAACAATCATAAAACTGTCTCAGAAAGCAGGCAGTGTATTCTTAACCATTTCATATAATAACTCTCTATAAGGGAGCCTTTAGAGATGGATGTCTGTTTCCTATCACCACCACTGTGAGCAATTCTGACTCTGTAAGATTCTCTAGAATGGAACACTTCACACCAAACCATTTTGAATGACTTTATGTATGTTTGAATGACTTTATGTATGTTTTAACCATTTAATTCCCCTTTAACTGAAAGTTAAACATTAATATTAAGAAAATTCAAGTTTTAAGGCAAACTTGTGACAGGCAATGTAAGAAAAAGTGTCCAAGCGAATGTGCTTAAGCACTCTCCAAAAAAAAGTTATGAAACTGTCACTGACGCAGTAACCCTCTTGTTAATGGGGTGGTACCCTGAAGGGTACATCTCAGTACCTTTGGTCAGGGGACACAGTTGTACCAAACATCCATTGAAGTTATATTTTCTAAATTGCACTGATTCCACACATCCTGTCCCATTTCCAGGCTTTTTATTAGGTCATGAATAGGTCATACTTTTTACCTGGGAGAACCTTATGTAAGGTACACAAGTGGACCCTAAAACCACTGCTGTACTTTTGAGGGTACTTTAACATTGTTTGTATCTTGAAGAACAAAAAATGCACCTGAGCAGAAACTTTACTTCTGATAGTGTAGAGTGTCCATGTAATACCTGCTGCATCAGAGCAGAAATATCCGATGACGTTAGGACAGATGCGTACAGAGTGCTGCCATCTCCGCTCAGCTCAGAGAAGCACTCAGCCACTCAGCTTTAATTCAGTGAAAGGGCTAATGAACTGAGTTGACCTGTACTGTTTGTTGAAGCGTCTCTTAGGAGAATGTCAGGCTCCTGGACGTGTCTGCCACTCAGCTAATGTAGTGGAAGAACTTCAGCTTGAGTAACTGTTAGTTGTGAGGTTATTAGACTTCCTATTTATTTTAACATGTTGGTAAAAAATTCAAAATGTAGAATATAAAATGTGCCATAACTTCTGTACAAGTCATATTTTAAATTTGGTTTTATTCCAATATGTTTTGAATGGCTAAATGGAGTGTCTGACCACACATCACTTTAGTAAATCTGTCCCCATATCTCTCTCTCTCAGGTTTAACCGCCTCTCGGCTCTCTCTGTGGCGGAGGATTCCTTCACTCACCTCTCTAAGCTGCAGGTGTTGGACATCGGCCACGGCAACATCACCCCCAGTCATAACCAGGGGGAGGAGGTGGATGAAGATTATGTAGAAAGAGAGGAAGAGAAGTAGGAAGAAGAGGAAGGTCAGCAGGACAGCCTCAAGAGAAGTGGACCACGCATCAATCCATGAAAACATGACGTCCCAATGAATAGTGACAGGTTCAGAACTAAAAAGCTGTTTAGACGTGTTATGGAGATCTTATTTAACCCTTAGAGGTCACAGTCATTACCAGTAATAACAAAATCATGCTCTCAATTTATATCAAACAGAGAAATTCTGAAGATTCCAAACTTTCAAACCTGTTGTTTGTGAGTAGAAGAGAAGTTATATTAGCATCTGAAGAGGAAAAGTTTTGTGGACAGTCTTATTTTACAGAAAGAAAAAAAAGCTATACATTTTTGCCATTTTTAGTCATTTTCTGACATTGAAACAAATTTTAAAAAGTAAGTAATGTATAAATGTACTGTAAGGTAAAAAAAGCCAGAACATCCTTTATCTTTTTTTTGTTTTTTAGTCAGAAGTCAGGTCCATCAATATTTTGATATGTACAAAGTCTGTCTACCACAGCATATTGGAGTTTAAATTAAATAATCAGGTCCATTTGCACTGTGACATGCTGTCCATGCCCATGCTGTAACACTACCTCCACCATGCTTGACACATGAGGTGGTGCACTTTGGATCATGAGCCATTCCTTCTCTTCTCTATACTCTCCTATTCCCATCACTCTGGTACACGTGAAGCTTTTTTTGATTGGACATCATATTAAGACTTAATAGAATACAAATGCCACATGTGAAATCAACTCAAGACCTTTCATATGCTTACTAGTGGGTGAGATAATGAGGGAATAACACACTCTTCAGCAGCCAATTGTCCCAGCCCTTAAAATTGGTTGTAATTCCTACATTGTTCATCATAACTAGATGTAAATACCATCAAATAAAAGCTGAAAATCCGCACTTTGTTATTTCATTTGAACTCCAGTATGCTGTGGCTTTTCAAAGAAATCTCCAAAGTTCAGTCTTGGAAGTTGGCTGCATTTTCTGCTTCTCACAAACTGAGTAATCCCAAGCACCAATCCAGTTTTGGAAACTGTGGAAAAATGAATAACTTGTACAAACAGGCCATTTTGACCAGAGATTCAGTGAATGAAGTGTGGTTTCTGACTTGTACACAGTACTGTACGTCAATGGACAAAATGACAGTAATAACTCTAAACTTCTAAGGGTTCAAATAATGACAGTAACATGAGTCTTAATGGCTTTGACAAAGTATTATCCTCAGGCAGACTTCATTTTTTGAGCCATGCAATTTGGACCTCCATTAGTAACCACCTTCTTTCCCACTTTACCACTTACAGAAACCACTTTAAGTCTTAGTTCAGCGCTACCCACTCCGCTCCCTCTTTAAAAACTCTGAGAATCTGACATTTGCTCCAAAAGCACAAGGAAAATATTCCAGATATGTTAAAGGAAGTACTAATGATAGACTGCTGTTATTTGATCTCTTTTTCTTTTCTTTCAGATGGATTTCTTTTGGACGTTTGCCTTTTTTTTCGAATTGAAAGCAGAAGTGTGGAGTTTGACAAGTTTGTTTGATTCACACGTCTCTGGTGCAGGATACCAGTGTGTGTTATTTTTTTTACCTTTTTCGCTCTGCTTCTTTCATTTCTTGTATTTTATATTTAGTCATTCCCACCAAGCAGGTTTTATATTTGCTGTTTATTGTCAACGCAAGACGTCCTAACTCAGTTATGCAGTTGTTAAGAAAAATCAGCACCTACTCAGCATTGACACTCTCCCACAAATTTCAGCGGCCGTCGCTTTTGAAGTAAAAAGCAGTAAAGCAGCGAGATTGAAAGGTTTAGAGTCAGCGCGTTTGGCCTGATGAAGGATCGTTCCAGGAAAGAACTCACTTTGGCAGACGCTCTTGAAATGGAGGCTTAGAGGGCTTTAAATAAGGCAGGTCACTGAAATCTGCAGCAGGTCTCCAGATTTTGTTGGTCTTCACAAGCTTGAAGAGAGATGAGTGAATTTGACGTAAGGAAGACAGAAAGGCGAAGAACTGGCCACTGATAAAGAGCTATTCTTACCCTTTGTGAAAGTGTGCTCTTCATGAAGACTTACTCTTTCCTTTTTTTGCAAATCCAGACAGTAAACCTGCCAAGCTCTGCTGATCCACCTCCTCCTCACACATGGACAGGCTTCAGGCTTAATGAAGAGTTTCTTGAAACCAGTCAGAATTTCCCCTCAAACTGCTCCAACATTCAGCCACATCTTCTTCCTCCATATGAGCCCCGATTTACGTTCCATTTTTGTGGAGACACGTATTGTTATCATGGGGCTGATGGTTGAATCAAATGCTATTTAGGGTAAGGTTGAAACTGAAATAATGCTGAGATTTAAATGCATTCTTGAAAATAAAGCAAGTTCTTTGGGGCGAAGCTATGGAAGAACCAGTTCTTCAATGAAAAGTTCGTTTTAGCTTCCTAACGAACCTTTTCATGGAGGGTTCTTCAAAGAACCATTTTGTGAATGAGATGCGCAAGTATAAGAACGTTTTTTCATGTTTAAAGAACATCCACTCAAACACATATTCTAAACCACTTATCCTTCTGGGTTGTGGGGGGGAGCTGAAGCCTATCCCAGTGGTCGTTAGGCAGAAGGCAGGATACACCCTGAACGGGTCACCAGACCATCGCAGGGCAGTCACACAGACATATACATTCACACCTAGGGGCAATTTAGCATGTCCAAGTGGTCTGACTGTGGGAGGAAACTGGACTACCCAGAGAAAACCCACACAGATCCGTGTAGAACATGCATACATACAGAAAGGACCTTGGGTGCCCAGCTAGGGAACTGAACCCAGGCCCTTCTTGCTGTGAGGCAACAGCGCTACCCACTCCACCACCATGCCACCCAAGAACATCTACAAAATGTAAATTCTGTACCAAATCCTGCAACTGTACTACGAAGCCAGGAACTTTGAGGCAGGTCACTGAAATCTGCCAGCCAACAAGCAAGCTCTTCTGCGACCTTCTCAAATATTCAAACAGCCAAGTCTATTTTGTCTGAATGAATTACAGTAATTTTGGTGGAGGTACATATGGTGATCATGGAACTGGTGGTAGAATCATGTCAAATAGCTAATGCTATTTAGAGTAAGGTTGAACCTGGAACCGTGCTGAGACCTGGAGGGTTTCCAATGCACTCTGTAAAATCAAAGTGTTTTGAAAGTTCTTGGGAGCCATAGAACAAACACCTTTGACTCCCTAACAATCCTTTCCATGGAGGGTTCTTCAAAGAACCATCTTATTAAATGAGATGTGCAAGTATGAAAAACCTTTAAGTTTAAAGAATCTCCATATAATGTAAAGATTCTGTCCCAGTTAAAGGTTTTTCCTACCACTGCGCTACCAAGCCAAGAACCACTGACATCACTGAAATCTGCCAACAGTAGGTTTTATCCCTTGATAAATTAGCAAATGTGACTTCATGAAAAGTCTTGAAACCTGCTAGCTTTTCTCTGTGAACTTCTCAAATGTTCAAACAGCTGTATCTTGTCTTGTCTGAATGAGTCGCAATCATTTGAGCGAATGTTGCCATGGAGCTGAAGATAGAAATGTAGTGAACACTTTATGGTAGGGAAATGTTCATAAGGCTACATGACATGCTGGCAACTACAACCTGTATGACAAATGACACCTATGCAGATAAATGTTTGTAAATATTGATGTAGGTAAGTTGTCGTGAAGAGCTTATGTAGGTGTCATGTGGCATTAATAACATTGCCCTACAGTAAAATGTTACTGAAATATATTTAGGAGTGAATGTCAAATTCCATTGAACTTCATATACTACATATAGGAATATGACCCATCAATATGACAAGTAAGTGAAATTCATTCAATAACATGTCAGTGCTCCTAAGCAAGCCTGCTACTGTTCCTACAATGCTTCCTATCATACAGCCACCTCACGTTTCATTCAAGCTGAGCAAAACACTGCCATCCTTATTTCCTAACTGTCCAGAATGAAATCTGTTTAGTCAATACTGAACACGCCTGTCAAAGTGCACAAATACAGACATTGATTTACAAATCAGATAAAGTTTACACCTATTTTTCTAATCTGGAAATACTCGTTGGGCCTACCTGGCTACATATTATCTACATGAGGTCCTTTGTGTATTACAGCTTTACACTTATTGCAAATATTTCTTAAAAACAGCAAATAAATTATTTTTGAATGAAAAGATCAGTTGTTTTCTTCTTTTGTTTGTATTTTCTGTATTTGCAGAAACTGGCACTACAAATAACCTGACTGCAAGTCAGACTGACAGTACAAATGCATGAAAAAAGTAAAATAAAATCAATCAATCAATCAATCAAATCAATCTTTGGGCCTGCTGGAGGGCCCTGGCTATGTAAGAGGTTAATACATGGTCCTGTACATTTTTAGAAATGTAAATGTTGCTTCCAGTCATAAGCAGGAAGGGAGTTTCAAATAAAGTGGCCAGCGAGTGTAAGAACAAGGTAGGTGTTTCTAATAAAGTAGCCAGTGAGTGGAAGTACAAAGTACACTGTATGGTCAGAAGTATGTGGTCACCCCTGAATTACTGAATTCAGGTGTTTCAGAGTGGGTTGTACTGAAAAGCTTGTTGACTTTAAAAGCCATTTTGTGAAATGTCTACCCTGCTGGATCTGCCCTGCTCAACTCTTAAGTGCTATTATTGTGAAAAGGAAGTGTCTACAAGCAACAACAGCTCAGCCACGAAGCAGTAGACCACACAAACTCACAGAGCTGAGTGCTGAATAATATAGCACAAAAACATCTATACTCTGTTGCGTCACTCACTACAGAGCTCCAAACTGCCTCTGGAAGCAGCATCAGCACAAGAACTGTGTATCAGAAGCTTCATGAAATGGATTTTCATGGCTGAACAGCTGCACACAAGCATAAGATCACTACAGGCAATGCAGCATGTTGGCTAGAGTGGTGTAAAGCACACCACCACCGCACTCTGGAACAGTGAAAATGTTTTCTCTGGGGTGATGGGTGATGCTTCATTATCTGTCAGTCTGATGGATGAATCTGGGTTTGGCAGATGCCAGGAGAACACTTGTAGAACGCATAGTGCTAGCAGTAAAGTTTGGTGGAGGAGCGATAATGGGCTGGGGCTGTTTTTGTCCTTAGCTTTGTCAATGGCTTTGGCATGGGATGTCCAACAAGCCAATATGGCTGTGATGGTCAGATGGTCCACATACTTTTGGCGACAGAGTATAGCCATTTCTAATAAAGTGGTCTGTGAATGAAAGTATAAGGTGGGTGTTTCTAATAAAGTGGCCAGTGAGTGGAAGCACAATGTAGGTGTTTCTAACAAAGTGGCCAGTGAGTGGTAAGTGTTTCTAGTAAAGAGGTTGGTGAGTGTATGTTTACAAAAATGTATTGTGACTAATATTAAATCGCCTTCTTTACTTTTTAGCATTACTTCAGTTCACTTTGTGAGTTTACTTATTTTTTTATGTGAGTTAGAGACAAAGAGATGCAGTGGCAGTTAAAAGATTCTCGAAACCAATCACAGTGTGAAGGAGAGTCTTTAGCAAAAATAAAATAAAAATCCCAGACAAATTTTACAGCACTTTTGCTTTGAAGTTGCTCAAAAGCAATCATTTGGAAAGGAAGGCAGTTTGATCTCATTCCCAGAGTAAAAGCCTGTAAAGCTCTGGGAGACGGCGGCAGAGCAGAAGAGGAACTTTTAGTCATGCCATCTGCTGCTGTTTACAAATTGCAGGAGAAAATTGAGCCATTTCTCTGGTAATATATATGATCATCTGTGTCTGAGTGCGCGTAGTGGGGCTAGATGGGGAAAAAAAAATTGTCCTCACATGGAACTGCTAGTGCTGGAATGCCTGAAAATAGATCATTCTGTAAAGAGGAGTGTGGAACATTGGAGCCGGGCAGTCGCCACCTGCGCATACCTGCCATAATCCAGTGAGCGTGGATTTCAGCCTAATTCAATTAATTATTCTGAATAGGGCCATAATTTAGAGGAAGCAGGGGGCCCGATTCACAACTAGAACGTTACTGAAGCACTTTTTGCCTGACAGAACAGAAATGCTTCCATTTTAACCAATGACTCACTCCACAGCAGCTCTCCTAGACATACAGTCTAACTAGATAATACTCAAAATGTCTAACAGGTTTTAGGAATTAAGTAGAAAAAAGTTTGTCACTCAAATTTCAAAGAACTGCGTATCAATTTAGGGTAAAATGATGATCATTTTCCAAAAAGGTTCTGCCTATTAAGCTGATGCAGAACATGGTAAAATATCTTATAAATGGATAACAACTAATGGAGTAGCAAGGTGGTAAGTATGAACAAATGCACACTACATTTCACTGGGATGTCACAATTTAATCAGAAGAAAAATCAAAATGCCAAATATGTGTTGATACAGGTGATACAAAGATATCTGCAGACCTGAGTTATACAGTATGGGCCTGTTTATTACCTAGAAACAAAGTCCGGGCTATAAAAGAAAGCAGTGACTCTTATTATGGTTTACTGGTAAATGGTCCTTACCATTTGCTTTACTTAGAGAATACTGAGATTTACTTTCCTGCATAAATTTGTACCATTACAGCAAAATTAATATGTTGGTACTCACCACCTTGTAGCTCCAAATAATTATCCAATTATGAGATATTTTAGAAACTCTTAGGCATTTCAGTGTAATTTAGTCTCTGTACTTTTACCCAAAAAATACACAGCACTATGAAGTTTGTACCTCATACTAGCTAGAACCTGTTTGGCATTCCAGTGTCATTTAGTCCCTAGAAAGTGTGCAGGCATTATTGAAGAGCCAAAGGCTGCTATTCTTACTGGAATGCTCACAGAATGAAATCAGGTCAGCAGCAGTGTGGACCGGATAGATGGACACTATTCATTTACACTGTGCTTATGTGTCACGGTGTAAGCCATGCAAATTCTATGTTAGGCCAAAAGACAGCCCATGCAAGAATGCAAACGCAATTAACAATATTTATCCAACAAAAGCCAGAAATTTAAGTTTTAACCCTGAGAAGTTTTTGACCATAAAGGAAAGTGTTTAAATGAGGGAGAGAGCGATTGTTCAACTTTTTGCTATTATGACCCTTTTTTGGCCTAATCCCTACTGGGGTCTCACACATATAGGTGCATTCTCAGCAGCAGATTAATAGGATGAATGGATAGGCATCTATAAGCCCATGCAACAAATTTATGAAGGGTCCTATTCTATGCACATGACAGTACACAACAAACTTACACAATCGTTTTCAATAGTACTTCTTTAGCTGTGTTTGTAATATCCTGAAAGCTAACTGGTCAGTGGTGCCTGGCACAGCTAACTAGCTATCATGTGGATATGCTGTAACAATTTGGATTCACATAATCACAGAGTTTAGCCAGAGTTTACTTGATGACTGCAGCCAGTCTCTTCTCCATGTTCACGCACTGAAACGTGAGACCGAAAAGCAAGCGAAACATGTCTTTCTCACCGAAAACCACTGGAAACAGCGCAGTCCCTTAAGACCTCATATAATTAACCTTGGATAACTTGAAGAGACTGCATTTCCATCCTTGCATGGAGTGCATTTCTGCCTTTAGTGGTCCTTTAGTGTGGACCACAGTGGCCTTGGGTGTGGAACTACCAATTATGCGCAGTCATAACATTTACTATACATTTACATGTCAGTAATATTTATTTAAAGAGAACTTGTTTTCTTTTACCAAGATTTTTTTACATATATGATTCCATAGGATTTGTGCTCTTATGTGCAGGCATCAGAGTGAAGCTTCAACCAGGCAATTTTTGCACCCTCAGTCTAATGGGAGAGTAAAGTGTAGCATGCTGGTGATCAATCAGGACCAGCAGGGCCTCCAAATCCCTCACTCTCCTCTGCTGATAAGGCAAAGATTGAGGAAGAAATCTGTGTGAAGATTTCCTCTGAGAGTTCTGAAGTGGCTGCCCACACCTCAGCAGGGTGGATGGATCTGCTACTGCATTTTACTCACTGACCTGCAAATCCATTTGTACGAGTAGCAGAACTGTAAGCTCCAAATAGACCCTTTAAATGGTTCTATTAGAAATCAAAGTGTTTCTTGAAACCACAAAGGATTCAAGGTTGTATCTACGGTGCAGTAATAACACTTTGTGTGGAACAATTCATTTGTTACCAATAGGGGGCATTCAGATAATGCTTGTTAGAAGGCCAAGCACACTGTGTCTGCAGGGGGTGCTGGAGCCTATCCCAGCACTCACTGGGCAGAAAGCAGGAAACACCCTAGACAAGTTGCCAGTCCATCACAGGGCAGACACATAGACACTCAGACCTATGGACAATTTAGCATCTCCAGTTCACCATTGGACTGTGGGAGGAAACCACACAGACACAGGGAGAACTGGGTTCAATTCCTGGCCTGGGAATCAAACTCAGGCCCTTCTTCTTGTGAGATGACAGCACTATACACTGCACCACCATGATTGAGATATCAGCAAACTTGAAATTCCATGGTAAAATAGCAGAGCTCTTCAATAATGTGCTACTGAGTGTTGGATGTCATTTTTAATACCTGGTTGCAAATCTTTTGCAGTCAATGATAGTCTGAGGCCTGGAACCCATACACATCACCAGACACTAGGTTTTTTCTTGCTGGGTGATGAGCTGCCAGGTCTGTCTTCAGTCAGGCTTCTTCTTAGAGCACTTTACCTTTAGTTTGGATTGGATTGAGCTCAGGTGATTAACTTGGCCATTGCAGAACATTCCACTTCTTTGCCTTCAAAAAAGTCTTGTGTTGGTTTTACAACTTTGCTTTTGTCAGCAGTCACATCACCAATAAATACAAGCCAGTTCTATTAACAGCCATGCATGTCCACACCGCAAAACTACCTCCACCATGCTTTACAGATGAGCTGGTATGCTTTGGGTCATGAGCAGCTGAGACCTGACAATGGTTAACAACATTTTATGGTAGACCTTCTGTACTTACTCTGGTAAAGTTGTCTCTTGATTGTCGATTTTGACCAAGATATGCCAACCTTGGGTGATGTTCTTGATCTGGCCAACTGTTGTAATGGGTTTTTCTTCATCAGGGAAGAATTCTTCTGTATTCTACCACAGTTGTTTTTGATGGTCTTCTGGGCATGTTGGTGTTTCTGAGCTCACCAGAATGCTCTTTCTCTTTAAGAATTTACCAATTAGCTGATTCCACCACAACTAATGTTTCTGCTGTCTCTGCTTCACTAGCAGTGACAGCTGTTGGACAGCTGGACTTCATATCGAGAGTTAACAGCAATGTATTCCACATGCAAATTCCACATTTGAAATTATCTCTAGATCTGCTTACTTGTAAGTGAAATAAAGAGGGAATTACACACACTTGTCCATAAAACAGCTGAGCGGCCACTTGTCTAATAGTTTTGGAGCCCTTAAAAATAGGGGGATGTATGAAAATGATGAAATGAAGTTCCCACATCATCTACCCATTTTTAACTCCAATATGCCATGGTAGACAGCTAAAACAACTATCACTTTTTTGATGTCCAAATTTTTATGGACCTGATTTTATGGACCTGATCACTAGATAATAGTGTGCAGGGTTACAGTCAAAAACATAATGATACGCCCACACAACCACATTTTAAAGGGCTCTAAAAAGTTAAAAAGGTTAAAAAGCAGGGTGCTACTTTGGAGGATGGGTTAATGCATTTGACTGACAAACAGGTGAACTTGAGCCTGAGATAATCAAAAATGCAATGTGCTTTTCAGTTGCAGTGTGCATTGCTCCATTGACAACAATGAAAAGAAAGAGTCTGAAAAGGCTTCATTTGATTACCTGCATTACATTGAAAGTCAGATTCTTTTTTTAAATGGGATAAAATAACAATGAGATCTTCCCACATGTAGCTTGAAAGGACAAAAACACCCATACATAGGTTATATAAAAACTGAAAAATCAAAGAAAAGAAAAACAAAAACAATGCAGAGAGTACATAGACTAATACTTAATATTTACAATTAAAATATCACATTGTTTTGTCAGTCTCCAAAAGGACTGAGTAAGTTCAGGCTCCCTGACTGGGTTTTAAGCCTCACTGGCTTTCAGATTTTACAGTTTCTTTCCTTCCAAGATCATGGAAACCATGCATCGTGCTCCAGGAACCTGGCAGATCCTAAAAGTCTAGGCTAATTTCAGGCCTTGGTTTGATTTATCCTTGCAAGCTCTGTGGCTGTGAAAGCTGTAAATGATTCACCTCCTTCCAGGCCAAAGTGTCAATCCAAGATGGTCAGCCAAGGTTGCTAGCAGGCATGCTAACTCAAGCCTGCTCGTTAAGGAGTGCCAGAATAGCTTAGCACGCTAGCACAAACTGAACAGAAGATGTTGCGTCAAGTAAAAGAAATCTCAGGTTCTCCAAAGTCATAAAACAACACAGAATTAGACAAAATAAGATCAACCAGATTACAAGAAGAAACTACTATGCTAGTTCTTGCAGTCCTTTCTGTCCACTTTATTTGTCTGTTGTCCAAACCACCCTGGTCAAGATGGCTGCTATACATTAGTCTCCAGACCATTCATGTCAATGGCGCAGTGGTCCTTGTCTTTGTGCTTGAGGTGCCGAGGAGGAATTGGAGGCTTTTTGCGCTCTGGAGGTGGGGGTCGCATTCCCTCTTCAAGCTGCATGAGTCGTGCCACGTCTGGTGGGACATGCTCAGGCTTGCCTCCTGGTGGTGGAGGCTGGAAGTTGCCATTGTTCTGCTGACAGTTCATCAGCTGCTGAATGTTGATGGGCTTAGTCTCACAAATTAGGGGAACCTGTAGGAAGAAAGATCAGAAAGATCAGAGTAGATGGATTTGATTGGTAATGGAATTACACACAATTCTCAGCCAAACAGAAGAAATTATTTTTCAGATTTTTACCCAGATTTGTGTTCATTCTGTTATATCAGCTAATGGATTACTACATAGCGTATTCTCACACTGAGTAATGGCGAGAGAGTGAGGACCATCTTACCCACCCAGAGACTCTTTGATTCCCAGTGACTCATGATGTCCTGACAAGAGAGCCAACACTTAAGACAGTGGTTCTCAAACCGGTCCTCAAGGACCCCGAGATGGTTAAGATTTTTGCCCTCAACTTGCAATATTTTGGGATGCAGCAAAAATGTGGATTGTCTCAGGGTGCTTGAGGATTGATCCACTGGCTTAGATGGTTGCGCTACTTAGGAGACCCATTTGCTTGCTTACTCAAAATGGTAATCTACTAATGTCATCTTTTCATTTTAAAATAGATACAGTGATGCCATTTGGGCAGCTTAAGGCAGAATTAACCCTTTTATCCTCTGTGTAAAGGAGTTAACCATTTTTGGCAGTAGCTATAAAATGCAATTTCAAAGCATTGGCCCATATCATCAGGAGAATGTGAGTTCAGTCCCTGGTGATGCTACAGCCATCCATGGCCGGGAGTCTAAGAGACCACAATTGGCCTCACTCTCTGGGTGGGTAGGATGGCCCCCCATCACTCGACATGATGCTAGTCAGCACAGGTGTCTGTTAGCTGATGTAACAGAACTGGCAATTAGTGTTCTCCTCCAAGCATGTTCAGCTGTCCAATGATGTTGTGTGAGCAGCAGTCCGAAAAGATGCAGTGGCTGGCTTCACAGGTCTAACCTTTGCTCTCCTAGCGCTGGTGGTATTGTGTGATTGGGGGAGTTGGATATGACTTAATTGGGGAGAAAATTGGGTGAAAACATGCATTTGAGTCTGCTTTGGAGGTCCTCTGTTGAACTACACTATGCAGGTTTTCTTCAATAACACTGATGTTAAACATTTCATGGGGGATGTGTTTGATTTTCAAAACTGGAAGTGACTGTTCCTTCGTAGATAAGCTGGCAGATCAACATTTATAAAGGTGTTTTTTATTCCCTCGTTGCTCACTAGAAGATCGACACAGGCTCACTCAGGTTTATGAGGAAAACATTTTATTTGATTATATAAATTGAAAATATTCAAGTTGATTTCCATTCTGCCACAGGACACCAGGCACTTTTTGCACTGGAATCCTACCAGACAAGTAAACACCCTGCCTTGTTTTGAAATTCTTGATATTAGGTTCCTATTTTTCTTATTTATGTCAGCAAGGGTTTTATCAGCATTAAACCACTCTGTGCTAATCCTTTGGGTATATTTAACTTCATGGTCATAAAAGTGTCTTTCTTGACATGAAGATCAAGTTTTATGTAAATAATTGTTTGACAGTTTTCTCTGTAGGAGGTTGGACCAGAAAAGCCAAAAAGAGAGCAATACAGACAGACAGGGGGTAATGGAAAGCTAATGAGGGTCATAGACCAACACTGAGGTACCACACACATCTCCTTGTTTGACTCCAAACACATTGCCAATTCCTTCACTCTGTACTTTAACACTGGAAAAACTAAGTGTAGTCAAGCCGCCCAGAGGCAGCTTGCCCACATACTTTGGCAGCTGAACGATAAGGGGCTTGTCCTGCACACATGGTGTCCATTAAACATCTAATTCTGCACGGACTGAAGCTTTTGACCAACTTCTGTAAGAGTCAGTCACGATCAATAAAACATTCACAGCCATAACCTCCCCAACCATAATGTTAGCGACAGGATTTTCTGCTTTGCAATTCCTTCTATTCGTTTTTAACTAGAGTGTAGTGCTTGAGAGTCTGAAGTGTGAATCAGAGGAATGACACTTTGCTGAACCTGGTTTTGAGTGTCACAGTTTCCTTGCTGTCTTTCTCAGAGATGTGGATGGATTTGAACAGTGAATAAATGTTCACAATTTACAAGCAGGACAAGATCAGTAATTCAAGGCTATTATTGTCACACCTGGCTAGGGTTGGGTAGTTAACAGAATCTGGTAGTTGACAAGCTATTATTGTCAGTTCTGGATAGGGTTGGGTAGTTGACAATCTGGTAGTTGATAGGCTACTATTGTCAGTTCTGAAAAGGGGGTTGGGTAGTTGACAGAACTTGGTAGTTGATAGGCTATTGTCAATTCTAAAAAGGGTTGAGTAGTTGACAGAATTTGGTAGTTGATAGGCTGTTATTGTCAATTCTGAAAAGGGTTGAGTAGTTGACAGAGTTTGGTAGTTGATAGGCTGTTATTGTCAATTCTGAAAAGGGTTGAGTAGTTGACAGAATTTGGTAGTTGATAGGCTATTATTGTCAATTCTGAAAAGGGTTGAGTAGTTGACAGAATTTGGTAGTTGATAGGCTATTATTGTCAATTCAGAAAAGGGTTGAGTAGTTGACAGAATTTGGTAGTTGATAAGCTATTATTGTCAGTTCTGAAAAGGGATGAGTAGTTGACAGAATTCGGTAGTTGACAGGCTGTTATTATCAATTCTGACAGTACCTGCATGTTGATAGGTAATAATTGTGAGTTCTGGATAGAGTTGGGTATTGTTTGCTGATTCTTTTCAGTAATCAGGAGAAATAGTTTGTTCTAGTAGAACCAAATTATGCTCAATTCAATATTTTGATTCTCATGTTTAGTTTCAAACTGAATGACTTTCACCAGTACTGTGGTGGGCAGTGATTCTTTGTGTTTGTGAATGAAAATTGCAGCAGCAATATTTTGTGCATGTTTCTAGTAGTATGATGGATGCAACAAGCAGAAAGAATGAGCTCACATAATCTGTATAAAAGGCTACAGTCATTAGCAGGTTGTAGCAGGATTTCGATGCAAGTCCATAGTATAAGTTATATGGTCCCTGTGTTTTTTCACAGTTGGTGAACGGAACTGAGAGGTGGAGGGGTAGAAGATGAGGGCTAACCGAGAGAATGTTTAAACAGAACAAAACTGCCTACGGTTCAGTGAAAACAACATACATCAATTTCTCCTTTATACAAAAATCCAAAAAAGTGAGTATGAGAGTAAACTGTAAAAATAAGCTAGTAAACTCTAAAAAGAGGTGGGTAAACAATTATGATAAGTGAGTAAATACCTTTTTTACATTTAATAAAGTACGTAAACTGCATTCTGGCAAGTTGACCCTCCACTAAATCCTTGTTTTTGACTGAGAAAATAGCAAAGTGATGTTTGTTTTCCAACATTTGTAAAAGGTTTGTGCACAGTGGTTGAATTAAGCATGAAAAGGATCAAACATTAAAACAAGTCATGTCAAAAATATAACAAAGACTTATTGACCTTTCAGCAGATTCACATGTAGAGTCTGGGAATTAATTGTGTTTCGGTGTAGAACTCTAGACTGAGGTTGGATCAGAAGTATCAGAAGCTATAAGGTACTTGCACAGGGTGGAGATCAAGACTCACCCCATCTCCCTCTTGCATAAAGTCCTTTCTGCAGATATGTGCCATAATTCCTGTAGCGAGGGCATCCCCCATCACATTCACCATAGTTCGGAACCTGTCTCTAAACACAGGGAAGCAGGAGCAAAGTTCAAGCAGGCACTCACAGGCATGAGTCACCAAAAATACATTCTTTTACAAGTATTTTCACACGTATGTAGGTACACCACGAATTGAAGATATGAAATGCAAAGTATTGGTGATAGTTTTGTACCAAAAACTGTTATAATTCATTTTTGCATGACAATTTTCCAACCTGTCTTTATGCCTTAGGATTAACTCCTTAACATTGAAGGTTTATTTCACACAAAGGCTTATTATTCAGTAACTACAGGGATGTCAATGCAATCTAATGGAGTAATGCTTATGTTACAGAAGTGTGCTGATAAATTTGGGTGCACCAGGCTGTAAATAACCTCTGTTCAGTTTGACTGTTCTACATTGTGCCTCATTCACAAAGCAGTCTGGGCTGAAACACCCCTTATAACTTCAATATGAGTGGGTCGGGCTCAAATGCTGAAGGCCAAAAAGGTGGACAAATGTACATGCCTTGGTTTTAGTGACATCACAAAAACAATACATTCAAAATGGGCTGTTTTGCAGGTTATTTCCATACATTTTATGCACTGCTACTGGCTGGTGCTGCTGTTTTTATCTATGTGACATACTTCAGTCCAATTTTAGATATTACTGTATGTCATACAGCAGCAAGCCGGTTTGAGATTTTGCAGGATACAAGGTTTTGTTCCACCAGCAGCGATAGGTTACACAATTGTGTAACCTATCGCTGCTGGTGCAACAAAACCTCGCATCTCCTAAATGATAACTTTACAGGAAAAGGAAAAAACCTACTTTGCTTTCAATGTAAGTCAGTGGGACCGGACTTTTTTTTGAAGTCATTTTGGGCCGTTTCTTTTGGTCCGTTCATCATGAAATTTACACACAATGTAAAGGACGACAGGCATTTTCAAATTATGTCAAACACTGAGAAAAGATAAAGCAGCGCTATACATATCAAGTGTATCAATTGCATTATCTTTAAGAATGTATTCACGAAATGCTGTAAACCACTTTCTTCCAGACTCTGAGGGTTATTATAAACATCATTGACAGACTTTAGTCAAAAGTTGGGTTATTTACTCACAAGGCCCAGTCCACAGCGATGATAAGCGTGATGTCATCGGTGGGCAGGCCGACGGATGTCAGAACTATCACCATGGTGACCAGACCTGCCTGTGGAATCCCAGCAGCGCCGATGCTGGCAGCTGTTGCCGTGATACTGGAAAAAAAAATGAAACAACATGGTGGCTTAAAATAAAGTAATATGACCCAAACTCATATTAGAAACTCTGCAGTGACAGAAGTGTCCCATCTGCTGGAGAGAACAGAGAGCAGTGTTGACAGACCTCAGGCCTTCGCTGAAGTTTCCAGATGTTTTTAAGATGTGGATGAGGAACATCGCTGCAAAACCCAAACGTTGCATTTTTGCCATAATGGAAGATGCCAACTGCCTGATTTAAAAGTGCAGTTACACAACATGGCTTAGGTAAGGGAATCATTTTCCATAAGTGATGGCTGCGCTTCTGCGGCAACATCTACTTCATTTTCCATAAGTGATGCAACCCTAAGGAGCATTCCTTTAAAACAGTTCTGATTGAAACCTGCACAATTCCAACTGCACAATTGCGTTTACCATATTAAGTCACAACTGAGATACAGGCATATCAGTCGGTTTTATGGCCTGTGTGCTCCAGTTATGTTTCTAGTGGCTTTTACCTACGATAACACAACTGCAGAAATAATCCTGGGTTATGTTAATCTTGTGCTAAAAATAAACTGTATTAATAAATCCAGGTTATGTTAATCCTGTACTATAAAATGAAACATAGCAATAAGCCCAGGTTATATTAATCTTGTGCTATAAAACAAACCACATAAGTCAGCCAAGTCCATATTAGTATATATTATATCTTAGGCTTTAAAATGAACTATAGACATAATCCCCAGTTAGGTTGATACTGAGCTATAAATCAAACCATAGTCTAGGTTATATTATTCCTGTGCAATAATAATAATAATAAAAAAAAAAATGTAGAAATAAACAAAGGTTATATTTATTCTGTGTTATAAAATAAAACTGTAGAACTTAAGGCCAGGTTATATTAATCATGTGCTATAAAACAAACTGTAAAAATAAACTCAGGTTATATTAATCCTGTGTTATAAAACAAACTGTAAAAATAAGCTCAGGTTATATTAATCCTGTGTTATAAAACAAACTGTAGAAATTAAGCCCAGGTTATATTAGTCCAGTGCTATAAAAGAAGCCATAGAAATAAGCCCAGGTTATATTAATCCTGTGCTATAAAACAAACCGTAGAAAAAAGCCCAGGTTATATTTATCCTATGTTATAAAATAAAACCATAGAACTTAAGCCCAGGTTATATTAATCCTGTGCTATAAAACAAGCCATAGAAATAAGCCCAGGTTATATTAATCCTGCACTATAAAACAAACCGAAGAAATTAGGCCAAAGTTATATTAATCCTGCACTATAAAACAAACCGTAGAAATTCAGCCCAGGTTATACTAATCCCATGCTATAAAATAATCTAGTTAGAAATAATATACTAATCCTGTGCTATAAAACAAACTATCGAAATTAAGCCCAGGTTATATTAATCCTGTGCTTTAGAAAAAACCATAAAGTTAAGTCTAGGTTATATTTATCCTGAGCTATAAAATGAAACAAACAAAATAACCCATGTTATATTAATCTTGTATAGTAAAACAAACCACAGAAGTAAGCCATGTTTTATCTTGTGCTATAAAATGAACTGTAGAAATAAACCCAGATTAATCTTGTGCTATAAAACAACCTGTAGAAATAATTCCTGATTATATTAATCTTGTTCTACTAAACAAACCATAGAAGTAAGCCAAGTTTATATTAATCCTGTATGTAAAAAAACAAACCCGAAGAAATTAAGCCCAGGTTATATTTAGCCTGTGTTATTAAACAAACCATAGGAATAAGCTCCTGTTATATTAATCCTGAGCTAAAAAATGAACCGTACAAACCTGTTAAATACCAATGTTTGATACAACTAGAATGACATAGGGGTGCTAGCGGACATTAGTGGTTTTGTATTCTGTCTTTTTTTGACCTTCGAGGCCTGAACTGAAGGCCACAGTTCCACACATGACTTATTCCTTCTCCATCATGCATGTTTGTATGTGGTAATAACAGTGATTGCAGCTCAGCTGCGATGGCTGAGAGGAAAACAGCAGGCTGCAGGGTTCCACAGAGGCTAATCCCGACGCTTAATACAGCACACATACACATCTTTTCACCTTGACTGTCACATGCACAGTTCGGTTCACCTCACAAATCCCCCTACAGACTCATCCCACTCACACTTTTCTGTTTCGCTGTTCCTCTCATCTACTGGAGCTCCAGATAAACACTCTACTGTCATCTGTTTGGTTTCTCCCTCTGCGCTCCAACATGTGTTTGTGTGCTGGGGGAGGTGCTTTTTCTGTCCAGCTGCTGTTCAGCAGATGTAAAGCCCCGTGCCTGACAGAAAACATTATTAATCAGGCAAATAGGAATCTAGCAATTGAAAAAAAAAAAAATACCGCTTGGCTTTTGGCCTCAGTAACCGCTCAAATCTACATGTGGTACAGAAACCGACCAATCAGAAAGAAGGCCTTTGAGGTCACAGTCAGGGTCAGGCTCTGAGTCCAGTGGCTACTGCTGTGTGATCTGTTCTAGGATAAGGATCACAAGGATCTTTGGGCCTTTATTCTAGTCCTAAATGCTACAGGCTCACTGATTTATATTGATTTTATAGATTTATATTGGCTCTATTTACAACATGTATCAGAGTTTACCTGCAGTGCAGAACAGTATTGTGCAAAAGACAGACGGCTCTTCATTTATGTAATTTCTAGGTGAAATTAAGCCTCAATAATTCAATATAATATCAGATTTTTTCAGTATTTAGTGTGTCCACTCTATAATGGAATTACAACTTCCATTCTTTTTACTCACTCTCAGTTTTTTAAAGAATTCAGCAGGGATATTTTTCCACACCTCAAAAGATCAGTTCTGCATTTTTGCATCTCACGATCCAAGTAATCTCAAACACATTGAGTGGTGTTGAGGTCTGGACTCTGGGGTGGTCAGTCCATTGTTCAGCTTCTTTGTTTGATGTGTCCGTCTCCTTTTCTCAGTGAGGCTTCTTAACAGCTACACATCCTTTCAGACCCATAACACTGTAGCATTGTGGTCTTTGACTCATTCTTGTACATGACTTCCACGATTATATCAACACAATTATTTCCAAAGGTAAAGAAACTGAAAGGCAAAATTGTGTTGATACATATTTATTTTTGTCACTCAGAGCAAAAGTATTTTAGTCCAAACTCCACGTTAAAAGTCTGAAATGGGTTTTCAACCAATGACATACCTTTATATATCATTGACAAACTTAATTAAGTTTAGACCTTAAAGGTTAGACTTGTAACATCTAGTCTCTAAAGGCTTATTTGATGTCACTTACCCTTTGTCGTGGCACTTTGTGTGACAGTACATTTCCAAGGCTAAAGAATTGGGAGCAGAGCAAAATTCAATAATACAGACAGACTGTTCTATTTTCTTCTAAAATTAATGTCGTGTTTAATTAAACTGATATATTTTGTGCTTGTTGCATGGCAAAAGTTTGATGTTGATACAACTTTTATCTAGTAATATTTAAAACTACAATTACTGTCTGTATCAGAGGTCCTGTACTTTGTGTTCTTTAAAAATTAATTGAAGTCAATGAGTCTTAACTGCCAGTGCCAATGAGTGTAACTTATTGGCCATGTGATGTCATACGTACTAATGACTCAAAATGTATGACCAGAAACTGGACTGGAGGTCTAGATTTTAAGACTGCTGGTCTGTATGCATATATAAAATACCTGTTATTCTAAAAAAAAAAACAAACACCATCTTTCACTTGATTTTCATAAACTGTTAATGATGAATTTTGAATGAACATATTTAAGCTTAAAAAATTTACATCTTACTCTTATACATGGCATTACTGAGTGAATGAATAGGGAATTGAAAGGGAACTCAAATGGCACTTTTCATGGAATGACTTGTCGAAAAGAAGTAATTGTCATCACATTATTGTATTATCATTTTTTGACATTGAAACAAATTGAAAAAAGTTGAAAATTCTGATTCAAAACTGTCCACACAGAATGAGTCCAATATAAGTGTAATTCATTAACTAACTGTATAATTAGTGATTAGTGAATTAGTAAACACTATTCTTATCTGACACTATCTTCTTCTTTTTTGTCTTTGTCTTCATCTTCTTCCTCTTCTTCTTCTCCTTTTTCTACTGTATTTTTGTCCTCAGTTTTTGAGATATTGACACCAAACCTACTCTGAAATGTTCACTCTGATGGAGAATGACATCTTACACCTTAGCAACCACCTGTGATATCCTTGCAACTACCAAGCAAAACCCTAGCAACCACCTGGAGAACCACAGCAACCACTTAGCATCACCTGAACAATGATCTGGGATACCATGGCAACCGGTCAGCAACTGCCTAGCAAACCACCAGCGATAAACATAGAAACTCCTTAGTAACACACTAGTTACCAACTAAAACAACATAGTGCCCATCTGGCAACATCCCAACAACTGTGTGGGAGTTCCTGCCTGTGCAGTTACGCTGCATCTTCTTCAAGGAATACACTTTTCTTGATTGCATATCTGGACCACTAACACAAAAACACAGTCATAGCTATTTTAAGGCTTAATGTACACATTTATGGTCTAGTTAAGAGTTTGTTGCATCCATAATATTTATGTTAATGCATGTAAGTTAAAACAGCATGTGTGATATAACTGTGTGCTGAAGATAAAAGGGTTGAGGTGATTTAAGGAGAGAGAGTGTGGAAGAGAGAGAGAGAGAGAGAGAGAGAGAGAGAGAGAGAGCGAAAGAGAGTGAGAGAGAGAGAGAGAAAGAGAGAAAGAGAGAGAGGGAAAAGAGACACAGATGGAAAGTGAGGCCAATGATTGAAGTGCACTGGGGATAAAAACAGAGAGAGAGAGAGGGAAAGAATGGTGGCACGAGTGGAAGCTGCTGGTGATTTGCAGCTTGGTCACATGATGGTCTTATCAGAGGATTACTGTTTTTTAGTTTTCACTCCTTCCACCTCTGCGCAGCGGCCAACAAGCTCCGCCGCTGCTTTATTCAGTCGCTTCATT